GAGAGAAAAAAAGGGCTTATGTGTATATTTTTTCCCCCTCTGTGAAGGGGAGATTGGTTTGAGGTGTCAATGTTTGCCCATCAGGGAGGGATGATGGATGAGGGGACGGCTGGGGGAATAGCAAAAATAAATAATAAAGGAATAATTGCCATGTGCTTAATAACTGGCTGGGGAAGGACCTGGCGGGGGCTGCGAAAGCTGACTTTGCAGGGAGTTTTTAGAGCTGGGCACTTCCCAGACCCTCTCTGGTGGATGCTGGCGGTGGGATGCCCCAAAACTCAGCCGGCTCTGGGCTTCACTGGTCTGGGTTTTCATTGCACGGTGCTTCGCCCACGCGTAGAGCAGGGGGGGGGACACCACCAGCTCAGGGGTCCCCAACCCATCACCACCCCTGTGCCGGGCGAGCCAGGGCAGCCCACAGGGCTGGACCAGCCCCAGCCCCAAGCTGCAACCCCGCTGCCACCGGCAAGCCCGGGCAGGCCGGGTGCTGCCGGGTCCCGACCTCCCTCCTGGCACCGCGCTTCGCCCCGAGCACACGGAGCACACACGGGCTTTGTGCGGGCAGCGGCGTGGCGTCCTGCCTGCCTCCGTGCCCACGGGAAGCGATGCTCCCGCCCCATAGCGCTCCCACTTGTGCACCTCCCGGCTGCTGCTTAAAAAATACACACCCCCCCACACACCAAACCATCTCATTGAAAGAAAAAAAAAAGAAAAAAAAAAAAAAAATCACGTCCGAGTTGGTTTTGTTGCTTTCAGAAGCTGAACAAAACGAGGTTGTTTCAGGCCTCGCCTGGTGCCTCCTTTATATTCACCCTTTCTCACTTTAAAACCCTCGACTGGCTCCAGCAGGCTGGAATATTTTTTCCTGGCAAGGTCATTTTTTTCAGTCCCCTGGCAGGGTGGGGGTGCTGGGGGCTCCTCTTTTTCCAGGGGGTTTAAGACAGAAATTACACACTTGTGCCTGGCAAAACAAAATAAATAAGTGGACCAAGGGACAAGGGAGCTGCCAGCTTTTTGCAGCCCGGCCAGTGCCACTGCTACCAGGAAAAAGTGGAGAGCACATCCCCAGGTGCTACCAACAGGGAGCTGAGAGGAGAAGCCAGGATAGGGAATTTCTTATTGCCTTTTGGGGTTCATGGTCCTCAATGTCCCCAAGCTGAAAGGAGAGCCTAGATCTGCCTCACACATTCCTCCCCCAAGACACATCAAAGCTGGTCCCCTCCCCTGCCAAGTGATAACCCTACCTTATCCCAAGGGCTGCATCCTGCCCTCCCAGCACGAAGTACGCACGAGCCAAAACCAACCTCTGCAGTCAGCCCAGCCCTTATTTTGAGTTGAGATTGGCTAGATTTGGAGCAGCTGTGACCACTACAGAGCAAACAGGCAGCTCTGGGGTTGACTGCTGCAGTGCCTCATGCTGATGGGATCCGGTAGATCACTGGGGAGGTGATAGGGTGCTCCTCATGTGCTGGGGAGACAGGGAGGGCTGTGTCTCCAGTGCAAGAGGGATGGGACATCCTGGAGTGAGTCCAGCTGAAGCACCAAGCTGGATGAGCCCCAGGCAGGGGTCTGGAAGGGGATCTCTGTCCCTGGAGATGCTCAGATGTGACGGGGCGGGACGGGCTGGGCAGCCACCAAGCAGGGGCCAGAGCACCCTTTTCCAGAGTCCTCTTCCAGCCCCTTTCTCCCACCATCCCAAGTGGCAGCATCGCCCCACAGCTGTGGACACAGAGAGGTGCCCCGGCCAGCCTCACATCCCTGAGCCACCCTGCCCTCCCCATGGGTCTCCCCAAACCTGCTGCCCCTCTGGCAGCTGAGCATACCGCTGCTTTTCCTCCCTGTCTTGGCAGAGCCCAACTGCTCCTCGACGTAATTGGCCTGGCAAGGGCTCAGCCCTTCCCACAGCTTCTGTGCAGCTCCTCTTGCCACCCTGTACCCAGGAGGGCTCCGAAGCCACTTGTGTTTCTCAGGGCATTTACAGAGCCAGCTGGGGACATGGCACAAGCAGAGGGATAGTCCCAGGCACTCCCACCGTGTCACCCCCCGGAGGTGCCCACATGGAGGGATGCTCCAGGGGTCGGGAGCAGCTCCCAGGACTTGGGACACCAGGCACAGACACCCTCGTGCCATGCAGAAGGTGTGTAACCGTTGCCACACACGTGGTGGTTTGTGCCTCGGTTTCCCTGTGGGGAATTGTGCCGCCACAGAGAGGGGGGTGATAGCACCGGTGTACCAGGGCTGGGCTGGTGAGATGTCCCCTACCTCTGGGGGAGAGGGTCAGACAGAGCCAAGTGGTGCTGGAGGGAAACAAGGAGGCAAAAGGGGGGGTTTCTTCTCTATTTTTCTTTTTTTCTTTTAATTTGTAAATAACTTTCCATGAAAAAGATTAGATTGCACACGTATCTCTGCAGTTCCTCAGCATCAGTATAGAGGCCCCTGAACAGAAACATGTAACAAAAGCAACAAATAAAAAGCAGCATCGCCAATGCAGATAATACACCAACCCCCAAGACCCCCCAGAGACATGGCCCTTGCTCCCCAGCCCTGGGACACTGTCCCCAGCCATGCGGTGGCATCCCAGGGGACTTCAGATGCTGGCACTTGGGCTAAGCAGCAGCCCCAGCTGCTACTTGCATGAGCTGAAGATGTTGGTTCTCAGCCTGCCCCACACTTTACCAGGGGGGATGCGGGACTTGCACTCTCACATCCACAGCTCCAACCCTTTCCCTGACTTGGGGTGCAAATTACTCCAAGGGTAATTTATATATATTTTTTAAGGCTTGTTTATCAATTCTTCCACTACAAGTATACTCTTGCTAAATTATAGGACCTCATATTAAAAGGTTCCAAGTGCTTTCGTAACCAAAAAGGAAACTCTACAATCTTCCATTTTTTGGCAAGTCTAAGACACACCATTAAAACTACAGCTTCTGCTTACTCCTACTTAATGTCTGCTCTACCTCTAATAACCTACAGTGAAGGAGAGGCAAAGAATCCAGTTCTCGGGGGCTTCAACTCAAGTTTCAGCAGAGTTTGTCTCTGGTCCTGAAATGTTTCTGAGCTACTTTGCAGAGACTCTGCCACGTTCTTGCTGCACAGTGAGCCAAAGGGCCAAAGCTTCAGCCTGCATCAGTCCCAGCAGCTCTCCTGGCTGATGAGCTGCTCCTGGCTGGATGGGACTTCATCCCCGCTGCCATCCCCAGGCCCCTCTTTGGCCTGAGCTCCTGGATGAAGCCTGGATGTGGATTTCTTTCCTCCTCTGTCCCACCTGCGAGCATTTGATGTGGAGTGACCCTGTCACCACCAGCTGATGGCCACACCACAGTGTTTTCCTTACAGGTCCCCCAAAATCACATCCTTCATCGGGGTCCTGTGTTGCCCTGGCAGCCACTCAGAACCTGATGGATGAGCAGAAGTGGTGGAGAGCAATAGTCTCAGGCCAAAAAAACAGAGAGGGGGTATATAGTGGTCTAGACCCTTTGGCAACCACAGCAAGGATTTTGGGTACAAAAAGCAGAAAGGCGGTTCTGAGAGTGCCCTGGTCCCCACTGCCTCTCTCCTGCTGGGGCCAATTCCTGGATCCTTAACAAAACCTGTTGCTGCTGCTGCAGGAATCCTCCCTCACATAGTCTTCATTTACAGAACAACTAACACAAGCCTTTAAACAGTGAAAATATAGAACAACTCTGTCATGGTTTAGGCCCAGCAGACAACTAAACACCACAAGGCCACTTGTGTGTCGGGGCAAGGACAGGGAGAGCTCGCTCACCAGTTACGGTCACGGGCAAAACAGACTCGACTTTGGGAAAAAACATCAATTTAGTTTGTTACCAATCAAATCAGAGTAGGATAATGAGAAATAAAACTGGATCTTAAAAACACCTTCCCCCCAACCCTCCGTTCTTCCCAGGCTTAACTTTACTCTTGATTTTCTCTACCTCCTCTGCTCGGAGTGGCACGGGGAGGGGAGGCAGGGGATGGGGGGTGTCCTCAGTTCATCGCCCGCTGTCTCTGCTGTTCCTCCCTGTTCAGGGAGGAAGACTCCTCACACTCTTCCCCTGCTCCAGTGTGGGTCTCCCACAGGGTCACGGCCTTCTTCGGGTGCAGCCAGCTGCTCCAGCATGAGCACCTCCATGGGCTGCAGGTGGAGATCTGCTCCACCATTAACCTCCAGGGGCCGCAGGGGCACAGCCTGCCTCACCGTGGTCTTCACTGCAGGCTGCAAGGGAATCTGCTCCGGCACTTGGAGTGCCTCCTCCCCTCCCTCCCTCACTGCCCGTGCTGTCTGCAGAGGTATTTCTCTCATATCCCACTCCTCTTTCTCCTGCAGGTGTTCCAGCAGTTTCTTTGGGTTTTTTCCCACCCCATCTTAAACATGTTATCCCAGAGATGCTACCACCCCTGTTGATAGGCTCGGCCTTGGCCAGGGGCGGGTCTGACTTGGAGCTGGGGAAGCTTCTAGCAGCTTCTCACAGGAGCCACCCCTGTAGTACCCTCCCCTGCTACCCAAGCCTTGCCAGACAAACCCAGTCCAACTCCCAAACTGCATTTCCCATATCCCCCCACTATTAAGAAAAGCTAGTGCTAAAAATATAGGTTTCTTTGAATATATAACATTTAATAGATTATATAAAAACATCTAAAGAGGCAGACTTGCTGAATTTATAAACCTTTTCTTCTTCCCTAGGCACAAGTCAGGAGGGAGGTTGAACTTGGAGTATCCAGAAGGGATTTCTATTTACTTGCTAGCTAATTATCACACTATACCTACCAACTACTCTAGACAGAAAAAGGAAAGAGAAACAGAGATGAAGGGTGAGGAAATTGCACTTAGTCTATCGAATCCTAAGCCACCAGGAATCTCATGTCTTGTATGGGATTTAACAGGTGCTCTCCTTTAGCCCTGAAGGAACATATGCCGTGTCCATTTCCATGGCAAAAAAAAAAAAAAAAAAAAAAAAAAAAAAAAAAAAAAAAAGGATAATTCACATTTCTTCCTTTAAAAGTAAAAAAATAAGTAGTGTTATATTTTTTCTCTTGAGGAAACTCATGTACTAGAGACTTCTGATGTGTCCTTTAAAGATATGTCAAGCAGTTCCTGTGGTGGTATTTTTTTCTCCCCCCGTTGTTCCTGTAAATAATCTTACAATGAAGCTGGTAAAACTCAATGTGGGTGTCTCCGTCTCTAGAAAATCTTGTCCCTTGTAAATCCGAGCAGTATGGGGGGAGCATCCTACTAAAGTCTGTGTGGGCTTTGAACAGTGACTGGCCTCTTATACAAGGGACGCCAGACTGCTCCAGTCGCTCACATCTGCTGGCAAAGAGGCGTCGTTGAGGTCGAACAACTGCTCCATGTTGACGGAGTTGGAGAGGTAATCGTTTGTCTCTTCATCCCAGGGATGCTGCAGGAAAGATGTGGCCATCAAGGTTTCATCAAAGTCCAGGTTGTTCTGGTTGGATTCAGTGAGGACCTGCTCCTGCCCCTGGAGACAGTCGATGTGGTGCCCATGTATCGTCAAGTCCAGGTCGCGTGTCATGGGGTTGGTTGGAGGCGTGAGCTCCAGATCCTCAAAAATGGAGAATTCTCCATTCAGGTTGGTGTCAAAAATGGCTTCCCAGTCAAAGTCACCTTTCAGCGATCCCAGCTCAGTCTGCTCTTCCTGGGTCAGCAAGGTGGAGTTGGAAAGCCGAGGTGCCTTGGCCATTTGTTTGAGCAAGGGCTGCTTGCGCGTGTGCCCTGCTTTGCCATCCGTTGAATTCCAGTTCTGGTCGCCAGTGACTTCTTCAAACTCTTCCAGGAGCTGCTGCGACTCCACGTTGACGTTGAGGATGTTATTGGAGGTGCAAGCCAAAGAGCCCGGGCTAGTGACGCACCGTGCTTCTTGCCGGGCTCTTTTGGTGAAGGCTGGGTGGATCTGCACTGGTGTCATCCTCCGCTTTTTGGAGGCGCCGTTCTTCAGCCGGTCGGCGTATTGGGGGTCAAGCTTCCAAAACCCACCTTTTCCTGGCTCGCCCTTCTCCCGGGGCACCTTGATGAAGCACTTGTTCAAGGAGAGGTTGTGCCGGATGGAGTTCTAGACCCAAAAGAGACAAAAAAAACCCCAAGGCTGAGTGCTTGCCTGCTGCCGCAGCAACTACCTGTGTGGGGAGGCTGGTGGAAAAGCACATTTTCAGCAAGGACCTTTGGGAAAAAGAAAGCAGAAATGGCAACATCAAGACATCCTGGGCTACATGCCCAGCAGAAACTCCCCTGCCCCGAGTCACCAGCGGAGTTTTCTTGCCTCCTGTCTAATCCAGGCAGAGGTGGCAGGAGCCAAGGGGTTCAGGCTAGGACTTGCCAACCAACAGGAAACTTTTGGGCAACTCTCCTTGGCTGTAAATTGTGACCATGGGGCCTTGGATCATGCAGAGCACTGGGAGGAACCAGCCAAACTTGCTCTAAGCATGGAGCTAAGCTGGAGGAGGTCAGGTCCTCCTTTATGGTTGAGAAGGGTCTTTACATCGATGTGGCCAAGGCCCCATTACAAGTGGCAGCACCATGGGGGATGGTATCATCAGGGCCCTGCTTGCATCCCCCACTTCATTTGTGCCTATTGCTAGTGTTGAGGGGAAAATACTTGGCTAAAAAATAGGTGCCATGGCTCCCTGCAGCCAGGCTGACACAAACCAGACGGGCAAAACTGGAGAGACACGTGGGCTGTTCCACCGCAGCCCTGTGTGTCTCCAGAGGTGCCTCCTGGCCCGGCGAAGCTGGGTGTGATATCACTGCATCTTCATCACTGCTTAAATGAGCTGGAGGGGGGTGGGGGGAGAAAAAAAAAAAAACAAAAAAAAAATGGAAAAAAAGAAAAAGAGGAGTTTCTGTTCCCGTTGAGCTGTTCTGAAACACTGAATGTGCCTGGAGTGATGTGAATAATCAGAAAGGAAACTCAGTTATTGGGTAAATAACCCAGCATTGGACTCCACAAAGCCAAGACTGTATTAAGAGATTGGATATGGTAGAGGGTTTTTTTTTTTTTTAATGTTGCCTGGATATCTTTATGCTTATTCATCCATAATCCGTAGTGCCGAATAGGAAAAACAAGGCTTGAATGCTTAGAGCTGTTGAAAAACACACGCGCGCGCGCGCGCACACACACACACACACACACACACAACAAAACCCTCCTCTGGGCTGAAGCTCCTTGGGTGTGTTGGCTCCTCTCCAAGCACTCAGCTCCCACAGGAATATATCCATCTCCCCCTGGAGTATGGGTGGCATGACCTTTCCAGGCTGTCTTCACGTACGGGAATCGGAATAGAGGATGAGAACACAGCCTCGAAAAGAAAGAAAGAAAGAAAGAAAGAAAGAAAAAAAAAATAGCAAGAAACAAACAAAAAAAAAAAAAAAAAAAAAAAAAGAAACAGAAAGAAAGAAAGAAAGAAAGAAAGAAGAAAGAAGCAGCAGGAACACAGATAGCTCTGCAAACAATCCAGGCTGTGGTAACTCCAGATTTACAGTTTAACAAAATTTTACAAGGGTCAGAGACTTGCAAGCTGAATTCTCTGCTCCTCATCTCCCCTCCCCATCCCAAACTTCATTCAGCCTGGGCTGCTCTCCGTTATTACCCGGTCGGATAACATATTTATCATTCCTGCCTGCAACAATCCTGTGAACCCCCTGCATCTCTGTGGAGAGGGATTGAAAACCTTTCTTTTTTTTTAATAAACACATTTAATTAAAAACGTGGTGATTATCCAGCCGTGAATTTGCAGAAGAAAGTCAACACGCTGGCACACAGCTCCTCCTCCCCAATCACTCCCCTATGTCCCCCCAGTACAGGGGAGGCTGGGGGACCCAGGTGGCCCTGGAGAAGGACCGGGGGGTTCCCTTCCCCGTGATGGGCTTCAAAAGCTGCTGGAGACCCACCTGCCTGGGGAGAAGGTGGGCAATGCCTGGGCAGGGGCTTTGCAGCGGCTTTGCCCAGCCCTGCCTGGGTGAGCACTGTGGCCGGGGTCCCTGGCACACTGCAGATTTGGGCCGGGAATCGCCCAGGCGGAGGGACGAGCCACCCGTGTCCCTCCTGCCCTGCCACATCCTAGGAAGCCTCACATGCCAGAGGTCCCCTCGCGTGACGGAGGAGGGCAGTGAGCCAAGGTGGCTGGGAAAAGCCTCCAGAGCTGGTGAGCTTTGGAGCTGGGGGCTGCCCCCTGCTCCCTGGGGACACGCTTGTGCTAGCTGGGGACAGCAGCCCTGTTTGATCTCTCTTCGGCTTCCCTCTGAGGCCTCACCAGCTCATCCCAGCGATGGAGCCTCCTTTGCCTGTCCAAGGGGACAGGAGACCTGCCCTCTGCCCTGCTTGGAAAGCAGCAGCATTTCTGCTCTGAACCTCCCCAGCAAGGGATTTGTCCAACAAGCAGCATCTCCCTGGGGGGCCTCTCCATCCCTCTCCTACACCTGGTCCTCAGCGCCCAGAGATACTCAACCTGGCGATTTCACATGTGCTCAGCCTCGAGAGACTCAGGACCCCACGAGAGCTACAGAAAGGTGGAGCCAGGGACAGAGGCGCCTTCACCCCGGAGCCAAGAGGAGCCACAGAGACCAGTAGCCCAACAGGTACCTCCCTACGCTCAAAATGGCCCTGGGCTCTCGCCCATAACGGCTCCTTCCCTCCACTGCCCTCATGGCCGTGGCATTTCTGCACACCCAAGCTCTTCCCCACCAGCTGCTGGTGCCACTCTGCTCCCAGTGGGATCCAGTATCCCCGCAGGACCTTGCCTTGCACAGTGGAGGCTGTGGGAAGCCCTCCGCAGCCCTGTGGGGAAAGAGGACAAGCAAGAGGTCTCCAAAGCTCCTACCTGCCAGGTGGGATCAGCATGTCGGAAGTAGCAGAAGTTGTCAGTAATCCACTTGTAGATGGCAGAGAGAGTGATTTTGGGCTTATTGCTGGCTTCCATCGCCATGCAGATGAGGGTGGCGTAGGAGTAGGGCGGCTTGACGTGCGGGTTGGTCTTGTAGTCAATGTCCTCCGCGAGTTGAGGGTGCATGGCCACGGCGTGGTGTGCCGTCCTCAAGGTGGAGGAGGAGATGGGCTTGCAGGGAGTGTGGGGCATGCCCATGCACGCTGGGTCAGCGGCCAGGGGCGAGCACGGGGCAGCAAAGCTGGGGATCCTGTGACAGTCAAGTGGGTCCGGGCCACTGGGGAAGCAGGAGGACTTGCCCATGCTGGCATTGATGATTGAGAAGTCCTGCAGCCACATGAGGCTGGTCAGGCTGTCATCCAGGTCGTCCGAGTCCCCCATGCTGCCCTCCTGCCCTCTGTCCTTCCCTGCCCGCTGGCAGCTCGGCCACCCCTCAGCCATGCCTTGGCGCTGCAGCACCTCTTGCGTTCGTGGGGTGCACGTGAAGGGGAGGGAGGGGAACGGGGCAGATCCTGCAATGACAACAGGGAGAGGGTTGAGGCTCCCCGAGGCGCAGCCGCTCTCTGGCACCCAGGCAGGGCTGGGCATGGGTGCTCCCAGTGCTGCTGGGTGAGCCCCATTCCTGGGGTGCTGCACGCTGGAGCTTCAGTGCCTCCCCCGGGGTGCTTTAGCAGCCCTGAACCTGCAGGAAATTCCCTCAAACCCCCATGCCCCAGTGTCACCCAAACCCTGGTTGACTGGTGCTGCCCAGCAAAGCCTTTGGCTGAAGCAAGAATTAAAAAAAAAACAAAAAAAAACCACCAAACAAAACAAAAACCAAAACCAAAAAAACACAACAAAACAACCCCAAAAAAACACAAGAAGAAAACTCTCAAAACCACCAAAATCCAGCCCTGCCATCCCACAAAGTGAGGATGTTTTTCCTCTCCACCACTACCAGGTCAAAAGCTCAGGATCCAGCACCTCGACAAAGTACCTTGAAGTTCCCCCTAGGCTACCCGCTCCCTTCGGTTTCCTATTTCTGCTCCTCCCTTCACCTGGTACCCCTAAAACAACCCGGGGCCGGGGGGGCGCGGACCCACCCCGAGCACAGCCTCACTCAGAGCGAGCCGGCAGATTCAGACTTCGGTTATTCCGGGGCTGGGGATGCGACTTCTGGCTTTTCTGCTGGGCTGGAAACCCCAAAATCCAGGGTCTTTGGGCGAGGAGAGACGCCCCCGGAGACCAGCCGGAGCCGGGGAGCCGCTCACCGGCTGCGCTGGGGGGGCTCGGGCGGGGGGTTCCACCGTTTGAATAATGCCGGGCTCAACAGCCGCGCGGGGGGGGGGGGGGGGGGGGGGGACGTGGAACCACTTGCCCCGCTTTCACAAAACGGGTTTTTTCCTCCCCAAAATAAGGTTTAGAGCAGCGCCAGGTTGGCGCCCGGTGTCACCGCCCAGCGCCTGCAAACTCCTGTGCCCGCAGGAAGGGAGATCCCAGAAATGCTCGCTGAAGTGAGCGGAGCGGGGGGGCGGGTTGGGTGGGGGGGGAGTACAAAGAATAAAATTATGAATAAATACACACACAGACAGACACACACACCCCCCCCAGCGCAAACCTACGGCTCCTGATGGGCGGCTTCGCCCGAGCTGCCCGGCCGAGCCCCCGGCAGCGCTGCCCGCCTGTCCCACCGCCCTCCCCGGCCAGCCCACCGCTCCCCGCTGCTTTCGGCCACCGCCGCCGCTCCTCACCCCGTGTCCCGGCGGCGTCCCCCAACTTCCAAAGTTCACGAGAGAGCAGGAAGCTTCTGGAAAAAAAAAAAAAAAAAACAACCACCACACAAAACACGAGAAGAAGGAGAAAAAAAAAAAAAAAAAAGCAGGGGAGGGGGGGGGGGGTGGGGAAAAAAAAAATAAGCCGCAGTCGTAGGTCTGTCGAGGGGGATCGGAGCGGGCCCCGGTCCCGGCAGCGCTGCCCCCCCGCCCGGCCCTGCCGCCGTGATTTCGCGGCCGCCCAGGGGCTGCGATTAAGTAGCTGCTCCGAAAGGCTTCACGCGTTGCCACGGCAACGCTCCGCCCCGTAAACAGCTTCCGGGCCTGCCATTGGTCCCCGCGTTGCTATGGGGAGGCGGAGGGTACCTGCCAGTTTGGGTTGAGAGTTGGTCGTTTGGGGACAGAACCCCGGGATGGGGTGTAGTACCCCCAGGGATGCTGCGGGGCCCCCCCGCACCCGGGGGGCGATTCCGGCCCCAGCAAACCCAAAACCTGTGTCCGGGGCCCCCACCCCAGGGTTGGCACAAGGGCAACCCCAGCCCTTTCCTCCTACCTGGGCCCCCCGCCCCTTCCACTCCCGACCCCTGAGGAGCCCACAGCAATTAGGGCAAAGCTGGAGAGGGAAGGGGGGGCTGGTAGACCCCCTTATTTAATTAGAAGGATTACAACCCCGTGCCCCTGTAAGAAATCCCTGACCCCCCACTGCCAGCCCAAGGGCTTTAACAGAGACCGGTGAAGGACCCGACCCCCCCCTCCCCGACCAAGGGGGGCTGAAAGCAGCTGCAAAACCCAGGGGAGGCCTGTTTGCTTTCACCCCACAGCGCAAGGCCTGCTCTTTAGGGGCATGGGGGGCTTTGGGGTGTCTGAGGGGGGTTTAAACACCAGGCACTTCTGCCCACTGCCCCACTGGGGAAGGACATTTGAGAGCAAGGGGCAGGTGAGCAGCCAGACCCACTCTCAAGGGTCACTGCTGCCTGACGTGGTGTGTACAAGAAGGGATTTTCCTGCCAGGATCCCTGAGGATTTGGGCAAGACAGGCTGAGGGGGGGTCAAACCCTCTCCCCAGCACAGGGGCAAGTGCCCCTCTGCCCATGCATGTCCCCACTGGCCACAGGCCTGGAGGTGGTGGGTGCTGGGATGGGGTATGGAGGAGGCAACTCCCAGGAGAGGGGAAATTTCTGTTTCACTTTCCAGAAAACAACCCCAAATCTCAGATTTCTGCCCTTCTAAACAAGTCAGCTCCCTTGGGAGCGGGACCTGCCCCTGCAACAATGCACCCAAAGGCAGCGAGAGCTCAAGGGCTTTCCTGAGCAGCCTGGGTCAAAGCACTTCAGGCCTCAATTCTCCCATCCCCGTCCTCCCCCTTTGCAGGATCTGGCCATCTGCAAGCCCTCCCTCCGCAGCTGCCCCCCACCATGCATCAGCCCCCTTCATTAAAGCCAAATTATAACCCCCCCCTTACAGCCCTCTTCACCTTCAAGGCAATCAGCTACCAGCACGAATTTTCTTCCCCAGCACTGCAGGGATTTCTCCCGCACAAGCACCCAGCTCCTCAGTGCTCCTCTCCTCCTCCAGGAAAAGTTTCCCCCAGGGTGTCCCCATCTGTCCCAGGGGCCACAGAGCCAGTGCCATGCTGCTCGCCCACCTGCACCCCACGCCAGGAAGATGCTGCTACCCCAGGCCAGACTCTTCCTCCAGAGATTTTGCTTGCATTTGTACCTTCTCCATCCCAGCAGGGCTCAGAGGAGGCAGGAGTGAGGATGGTTGGGTAATGTGGGTTGGTAGGATCCTTGGGAAGTGTTTTAGGAGATCTGAAGCAGCTGGGCTGGTTTGGGGAGGTGCCGGGGTGGTGGGTGGGTGGATGCTCCTGGCCAAGAAGGGTTTCCAGCCACGGAGCCCCTAAGACCCCGACTACCCTCACCTTGTAACCACAAAACGACCCTGGACGCTTCGTCGACATAAGATACCCTTTATTAAACATACTCTTAAAATCCAAAACATGCTCAAAGCAAAGTCATAAGCAGCAATCTGGTTTCCTTCCTTAAATCCCTGACGTGTGGATCGCTGGAACAAGGGGCTGCGCCGTGAGACAAAAGGGCTGTTGCCTTTCACCCCACGCTGCTGGCACTGGAGGCTCTTGCCCGCCCCTCGTCCCTTCTGGGTGGGCGAGGATGGCGCTGGTGTCACCCACGCTCGAATCCCATCTCTCCTGAGCCACGGCGGAAGGTGCTCATTTGCTCACACCACGGCAACAGCACGCTGCTTGGCCGCTGCACCCTCCTGGCTCCTCTCCGTCTCCGTGCTCTCGCCGGCAGCCGCGGTCCCTCCGAGCGAGCGGCAGGCGCCCGCACGCAGCCACCCCGTCAGCTTGCTTGGCTGCTCCTGCAGCCCTGGGGACACACAGCTCGGAGCAGCCAGAAAACCCTCCCGGTCACCTCCTGGGACTCTCTGAGCAAGGACCTGCCTCTTCTGCCCTGACCTGCCGGCAGCCACAAGCACCGTCGCAGCCCTACGCCGTGGTGCCTGGCCAGGCCTGGAAAGCTCTTGTCCCTTTTGAAACCACAAGGTTCGGCTTTGGTAGACCAGCCGCCCCTGGAGCATCAGCCTCATTTTCCCTCCCCTGCCCATGCCAGAGGATTAGGGAACAGCCAGCCTCCTGCAGCCTCCCTGGTTTTCTCAGCTCAGCATGATGGTGAACCCCAAAGCTCTCCCCGTGCCTGGTGCAGTGCTGCTGGCTCCATGGGACTGGGACACCCAAACCACCGCCCCGGACAGCGCGTCCCCATGGGGGGATGCAACATGTCCCCAAACAGGGTGTGAGGCTCGTCCCCGCCACTCCAGCCCTCTCTGCTGTTAGCAGCTCCCATCCCATGGGATGGAGGATTGGAGTTGTCACCCCCCATCAAGCACCCAGCCCTGGTGAGCTTACAGGAGACATGGTGGGGTGCCAGCCCGGAGGAGGGAGCAGTGGGGTGGCCGACACCAACCCCACCTCCGGCAGGACCCACTCCAGGGCCACGGAGCGAGCAGCTACCGCAGCCCCAGCTGTGAGCCAGGCAGAGAAAATACCCCCCAGCCCCAAAAAGAGATTTATATCCCCCTTTAGGAGCCTCAGCTGTAGCCCGTATCCTGCTCTGGGGATGGGTGGTGGGGACCTGCTCCCCACACACACCCCACGGCTGCTGCGGGATGTTGTTTTCACTGGATGTACAACTCTGTCCTAAGGTAGCTCTGACACGCAGTTTCCTCCTGCAAAGAGGAGGTGGCCTTTGCTACCACATCTGTGTGACAAAACGAGGTGGGGAGAAGGGGGGGCTCAGCCTCCCACCCCGGGCTGGCCCAGACAGCTCCAGAGCTCCCTAGATTGGGATGCTGGGTCTGATGCTCCTCAAAGTGGCTTCTGACTGTCCCTGATAATTTCTAGTGTGGAGCCTGGCCTTTGCCAATGACCCCATCAGGTCCCCGAGGTCCATGGCTGCGTCCCTACCCCATTGGTGTCCCTGTGTGCCTGTCCCCTGGAGCAAAACCCACTTATGCTGTCAGCCCAGCACTGGCCAGAGGGATGGGGACCGAGGAGTGGGGACGGATGGGTGGGGAGCAGCTCCCGCACCCTTCTCCACCCCCTGCTACAAAGTGCGATGGAGAGGGCAGGACGGGTGGGACGGGGAGTGACACTTTTGGCACTTATTCCAGAAAGAGGGCACAGCCCCGAGCCCCGAGCTCACAGCAGGGCGGAAGACAGTGAGGATAAATTAGTGATGCCCCAGGGGCTGGTGACTGGGGAGGGGGGTACCGGGTCCCCTGCCCACCTCTGCCACCCTGCTCCATCCCCTGGGGAAAAGCAACCTCGTGGGCCTGGCCCAAGAGGAGAACGTGCTGCCCAGGAGGAGAGCGGAGGGAGATGAGCTGAGGGGGACCATTACCACCAGTGCATTATTGGGGACATCCCATGGCATAGCATGGGGACATCCCACAGCGTGGCAGGGGCACGGGCCGGCAAACCTGGTGGGGGTTGGCCCCCCATGAAGGTCACTGGCTCATGCACTGAGGATGCCAATGCCAACACTCAACCTTAACCCGCACCCCTGGGCACCCTCCTCCCATCGCCCTCCCTCGGCCACCTCCCAGGACCCCCTTTGTGGGGTGACCCCATCCCGTCTGCTCCGCACGTTGGAGGAGAGGAGCCCGGGGATGTGAGATGGCCAGGGGCAGGGGGAGACCCCAGCCCGTCCCCATCAGGGCTGGAGGATGGGAAGGTGCTGATGGGGGGGGGCTCTGAAGTGACGTGGTTCTCAGCCCCCTCTCTGCACAGTGGGGCTGGAGAGGAAAAGTCAAGGTTACCGTCTTTTCTTTCAAAAATCAGTCCTGCTACAGCCGAGGGGTGGAGATGGTGATGCCCACAGCGCCCGGGCACAGGGGTCCCTCTGGGTGGGCAGGGGGGGTGCGTGCCCCCACCGAGGCTGAGCCCTCACATGGGCAGGGTGGCCGCTGCCTGCTCCAGGTCTCGGGTGCCGGGGGGGCGGCGGGGCCAGGGCGCCGGCCGCAGCCACACATTGTTGTTGGCTGCCTCTGTGCCTGGGGGGGGCGGAAAAAACGAGGGGTTAGGGGCTCCCAAAGCCCACCAGTGCGCTCGGCTCATCTTTCTATGGGGGATGCAATTTAGTCCCCCCCAAATAACACCCACCTCCCCAGCCCTTCTTTGGGTTTTGGCTGCAGTGAGGGCTGGTGAGCGCCTGCACTTACCTCTCCAGGCCAGGGGAGCCCCTTAAGCCCCCAATTTCAAGAAGCACGGCGCACCATGGCTGAGATTTAGTAACCCAAATGGAAGGGGGCTGCCTCTGCCCCACCATGCCCAGAGAAAGGGCACGTGCAGATGCCCTGTGGGGGCTGCAGGTTGGGCACTAAGGGGCGTCAAGCTGCCCAGGACAGCAAGGGGACTGCCAGCAATGCCGGGGCGAGGGGTGCCAACCCTCCCCCCCACCTTCCCGGGCAATGGGGCGCGAGGAGGGCGCAAGCTCTGTGGTGGGGGTCTCATACCTATTCCTCAATGTTAATGGGGCAGGAGTCCGGCCTGGCGGCTGCGTGGCAGGAGAGACCAGAAGGCACATGGTGAAGGTGGGAGCGGAGGCGGCGCGGGGGCATGCACGCGAGCGAGCAAACGGGGCGACCGCGGGGGGCCGGGGGGCTCGCCGCCTGCAAACGGGTCTGGGATGAGGACAGGGAGCCGCCGGTGGGCACAGAGCGAGGGGGCCGTCATGCGTGGTGCCCTTCTCCCCCCCCCCGCCCCGGAGTTTTGTGGCGAGGAAAACCGAGGGGTGGGCATGCTTGTGGCGTGGGGGGAGCCGGGGCCCCCCACGCCTCCTCTCCAGCTTCAGGCAGCGCGATGGGCAGAGCTTGGGACCTGCCTGCCTGCGGCTTGTGTCCCGCCACCCAAACCATCAGAGGCTCCGTGGTGCCCTTAGGAAGGGGGTGCACCCCTAAAGCAAGGCGGCTGCTCCCACCAGCGAGGTTAAGCCCTGTGCCCAGGTGTGGGGGGCAGCTCTGAGCCTGGGGGGCCCTGCAAGGGCATTCCAAGGCCAAGGGCAAGTACTGAGGCTTCTTTAAAGAGGGAGCAACAAAAACCCGCTGCCTGCTGATTTATGGGAGGTGACAGCTGCCGTTTTGACTGGCTTTTCATGGCAAGCTCAGGCTGGAGAGCAAGGCACGTTAAGTCTGCAGATCCCAGAGGGAACGGAGAATTAACCAGGACCACACATACACATGCCCGTATACACACACACTCCAAAATCCCATTAAGAGCTCTATATTGCATAAGTCACTGCAGCGTGCCGGTGCAGAGACCCAGCTCAGCTCAGCACACCTTTGGGAGGCTGCCGAGGAGTGGGGCTGGGGGCAGCAGGGCACAGTCTGGCCCTGCAGCAGGGACCCAGCCCTGTGCCCACCCCCTTCTTCTCCCCTTGGGTGCAGGAGGGGGGCTCCCCCCCTCCGTTAGCAGCCCTCAGACCTGCCCTGTGCAGACCAGCTCCCAAAGAGCATCGCAGCGAAACCCAACCGGCTCACCCAGCCCACTGCGATATCGCTTACAGCTCGGATCATCCGCGGGTTTAAACCAGCAAAAACCCTCGGGGGATTTCAGGTCTTCTGCTGCCTCCGCTCCCCAGGCCTCCCTGCCTTGCTGCCAGCCTTTTCAGCAGGCGCCTTTCCCTAATTTCTCTTTCCAATGCCACTCTGTCCTTGACAGAGGATGTGGCCACGGCCAGAGGGTGCTCTGAGCCCCGGGAACAGCCCCTGCAACCCACTGCACACCCCAGGGCTTGGCCAGATCCCCTTGAGGACACGGGTCTGCGGATTTTCTTTAAACCTCCTGTCCTAAAATCCCTGGGATGTGGCCTTTCAACTCCTCCCAAAGCCCTTTCCCACCAGATTGAAATCTGCAGAGATTTCACAACAACGCTGGGGATGAGCAAACCTTTCCACTTTGAGGAACCACGTCCCATGCCTTCATCCATTACAGAGAGGGCAGAAACCAACCCATGGATCTGACCATGGCAAAACCTCCCCACAAGAGAAATTGGGGGAGGAATAGTAATAATATAATCTCTGGTCAAGGTGATTTTCTTTTAGCTTTCAAGAAAACTGCACCTGACCCTTAAGTAAAAGTCCACCCTGTTCTTGCCGGCCCCGTGGATGTGGTTACACCCAGATCTGCAAGAAACCTTTGCCAAAAAGGACTTTTTCAGTGCATGCAAACCAGCCCTGCGATTGCAGTCCAGCACCACCAGTATCAAATCGTGCCTCAAATCGACTCTGTCGCAAAGCGGCCGAGTCCGGATAGCGGGTGGATGCTGATGGGGAGCAGACAGGGCTGGGGAAGGAAAGAGCTGCCCTGAGTCTCATGAATAAAACCAATGTTGCAAAACACCAACTGCAACCACAAAACGACCAACTGGCCTTCACCCCCCTGGCCCCTCAGGCTCTTCCCAGCACCCTAGGACACCCCAGGACAATCTTCCTCCAACCCCTTTAGGGCAGAGCTCTGCATCCCCAGAGTTATTTCCTCTGGTCCCTCTGCCATCCCCAGGGGACCACGGGCAGCCCCAAAGCCCCCACTCTGCACCTCCTCTGCCCCCCGTGCAAGCGGCAGCCCCCTGCTCTTCCCAGCAAATGCCGAGGCCGGATCGCCCCCTCTCATGCGGGCGGCAGCGTGGCTCCCAGCAGTGCAGCTGCCGGACACACGGACAGATGTGGTGGCCAAAGGATGGAGAGAGCATCCTCGGCTGGGCTCGGCCCAGGGGCCAGATTCTGCACCCCAGCCTAGGCAGGGGATGAGGCCGTTGCAGTCCTCACAGCACAGCAAGAATTTGACCCCATGGCAGGGCCGTTTGGGCTGCAAAGCTCTCCCTTCCTCATCCTCGCCCTGGCACAACCAAGGGGGATGCAGTCAGGGACAGCTTTGGCTGGTGCCGCAGCCGGGGGATGCTTTGCTGGGACCCCCAGCAAAGGCAGAGGCATTGCTGGGACCCCCCAGCCCCTTCCCCAGTCCCTCCGGGCTGGTGGGGCTGTCAGCTGCTGCCGGAGGGTGATGGAGGGGACACGGGGCATTTGTGGCAGGCGCCTGTTCCTCCCCAAGAGCCTCAGCCGTGTTTCTGCAGTGCAGAAACCACCAGGAACAGGCAAGGCAGCAGGAGGGGAAGCTTTCCTGGAGGAGGAAGGGGGAAGAAAGGATTTCCCCTCCCACTGGTGGGTTTCACCCACCCTCTTGGCTCTCCAGCACCCGCTGCGGGTCTGGGACCTGCCACAAATTTAGCCAAAGGGCCAAGACAGGGGCAGAGTTGCTTTCAGCTTGTTCACAAATGTATTGATGCAGACCTGGACCCTCAGAGGGATTCATCGTGGCTTTTTGCCCTGTTTCTCCCCAACACGGGCAGATGAAGAGGAGCTGGCAGCACTGGGCAGGGTCCCCAGCCAGCTCCCCCCTTGGCCCTTGGGACCGGGGGTCACCAATACATTTGTCACCTTTGGGCAGCTCTGGGCAGGGAGGGGACACAAGCGTGGGTTGAGAAAACCGTGTTGGCACAGAGCGAACATGAACTTTCACGCGGACGGAGGAGCCTGGGAGGAAGGAAGAAAAGAAAAAAGGGATGGAAAGAGGGTGGGAGGACACAGAAGTGGAAGGAGGGTGGGAGAAAAAGTGTGAAGAAATGGGAAAGAGGGATGAACTCTGGGGCTCTACGGAAGGACAACCTGACCTGACGTGCCCCGTCCCCCCAGCCCTGGCGGAAGAGGAGGGGGAGGCAGGCAGCCCCTGCAGTAAGGCTGAGCTGGCTGTAGATCACATCCCAACCCAAAATACTGCTGCGCCCACCATGAGTCTGGACCAGGCTGGAGTCGTGCCACACACCCCCCCCTTCACAGGGAGGGGGCTGGTGCCCCCCGGGGTGCCAGCAGCCCCCTGGCCAAGGGGCAAAACATCCCAGCAAAGCAAGTCTGCAACCCTGCGGGGACATCCCAGTGGGGACAGGTCACCCTGACCTACGGCTGCTGGGGGGGTGACGTGGCTGGTGCTCAGCCCCGCAGAGGGATGGGCAGGGGGGGGTGCAGTGAGGACAAACTTGGGGGGGGGTTGGGGGTGGGGGGATGGATGCAAAGGGCTGGGAGTGATGCAGGGCAGAGCGGAACTGTCCCCCCCACCCCAAGTTCATGTTCAGCAGACGGCCACTCACCAGGTAAGCAGGCCTCAGAGCACAGTTTATTGTCCAGCGCTTTCACGTGTGCGATGCCCAAGTCATTGTTATTGTCACACCTCAGACCGAGGAAAGCGCCTGTCCTCGGGCCTGGAAGGGAGTTAAGGCAGTTAACGCCGCGGCTCGGCGCTGGGGCTTGCCATTGCCTTTTTTAGCAGTGGGGTGTGGGATTTCTGGGTCTTTTCCTTCTCCCCTCCCCACCCTCTTTCAAAAAAAAAAATAGATAAAAATGATGCATCTAGATAGGAGTGGGTGAAGAGCGGACAATAACGCCTGGGCATGGTCCGAGCTGCTCCTTTCCTCGCACCGGCCGCATCGGAGGGCAACGAAACAGCGACGATGCGGCAAAGGGCACCGGCACGCGTGAACCTGCTCCCCCCACCGCCTGCCCGGGGTTCAACCCAACCTCCCCCCCAGCACGGCCGAGCGGTCCCGGTCGGTGGAGCTGGGCCGCGGTGGCACCCGGCACCTCCCCAGCACCATCGGCGCGTGTGCGAGAGCCGCGGGGATGCCGGGAGGAGGCAGCGACTGGATGCGTGGGGCAGAAGAAGCCGTAGCCAAGCTTTGCGGGGGGGTGGGGGTGGGTGGGGTGGAGGCTTTCGGGGCTGAGGGAGGTAACTCTGCTTCTTAGCATCACCTGTACGAGAGATCAGCCCCCAGGTTCTTACCTGCATCCATCAGATGCAGGCGACTAAACCTCAGGAGGGATGTTCCCAAATAAACCAGTAGCCCCGCTGAGAACGGGCGCAGGACCGTGTCCTAAGGAGAAAGGCCATCCAGCTCCCGGAGTTGTTGGGATGCCCGTGGATGTCCACCACAGCCCCCAGTTACTCCCCAGTTGTCATATTTGAGTTTCCCCGTCAGCAAGAGCCTCCCCGCAGGGCAGAGGCCATGTTCTGGGGATGGGCGTTCCTGCTTTCCAGCTCGGCCGAGCGTCCAGGTTGGATGGGGGAAGAGTTTTGGTATGTTTTTGCTAACCAGAGACTTGCAAACATGGGAGGGGGCACACTAGGGGCCTCCTTATCACCCAAAAGAAATCCAAGGAGGCCAACGGCATGGGGGTGACCACGTCTTTCTTTGAGAGGAGCTCTCAATGTGCACGAGTGGGCTTAGAAAAGCACATTGAGGAGAGGCCAAAAAAAAATTGGGAGAGCATCCCAAAGGGAAGATTTTTGCAGCCCCTTCCTATGGGAACCAGCCCAGAGAGGGTTCTGTAAGTGGGAGACTTTCAGAGATGTGAGGAAAGACCTTGGTGAGGGGAAAAACATAGATAAGCCTCTTTCCCACTCGGATCCTGCACACCAGCCATCACCTGCGCTGTGCCCTGCACCGTGCTCACCGGGGTCCCCATGGCCGGCTGGCTTCCCCCCACCCACTGGTGTTCAACCCACCCGTGGGTGGCTGTGCTGTGAGGGATGCTTTCCCAGCCCCGGTGCCCGCGGAGGCACCCAGGGCTCTCCTCGACGGCAGCCAGCAGGCAGGGGAGCTGGGGACAGCATGGCCTCTGCCACTCGCTCGGCTGCCCACCGGTGACAGCGAACTGAAAGCGAGGGGACAACAACGGCCTGGGGCCTTTTACCGTCTTCCTGCGTGGGAGAGGTGTCCTCATCCTCCAGCATGTCGTTGCCCTGCGGCACAGGCGAGAGGCAGCGAGCGTTAGCAGCCCCGCGGCGTCCCAGCACCGTGCCGGGGGCCGTCCCCAGGTCCCTTTGGGGGAATGTCCCTGGCCCCGGGGGTTTCCGTGGAACAGGAAGATGATCCTGGATAGGGGACAGCCCCACTGCCCCGTCCATCCCCTGGGCAGCCCCTTCCCCAGCCCAGCCCCGGGGGAACGCGGTGACAGCCACCCAGCTTCCCCCCGCCACGGGCACCCGGAGTTGGGCGCAAGTGGGGTGCCCCCGCCACGCACGGGGTGGTTACGGTTACCTCGGCATCACGCTCCTCGGCAGAGATGCTGACGAAGTTTATATCCAGGGACTCCACAGGTGTTGACTGGGGGAAGAAGGTGCAAAAGATGGGGGGGGGGGGGGGGGGGGGGAGGGAAAAAAAAAAAAAAAAATTAGTCTGGCGCTGGATGTTTTGGAGGAGTTACACCCCATGGGGAAGCTCTCAAACCTGAGGGCTATGGGCACCATCAACAACCCCCCCAGCCCCTACCTCTCCATCAGAGGCTGTGGCGCTGGCGGCCACGGGTGAGGGGATCATGTCCCCCTCCTCCTCCTCCTCCTCCTCCGTGCCGGGAGCGACGTAGGAGCCAGACATGGAGGACACGGTGTCGGTGCTGAGCTGGGAGTGCTGGCTCTGGGAGGAGGCCATGGACATGACGGACTGAGCCAGGCTGCTGCTGACGGGCTCTGGGGGAGAGCAGGGGCTGAGCGGAGCCAATGGACCCCCCCGGCCCACTGGTGGGAGTGGCAGCACAGCACCAGCTAATTAAAAACAGGGCTAATGAGGATGAGCAGGGCATGGAGCAGGGACCTGCTGCACGCCATGGAGGTGTGATGGGTGGAAAGCTGCCAGCAACGGGTCCCTGGGGCTCACAGCCCCCTGTTTCTGGGTCTATGGGGTGATGAAGCAGGGGCAATCAGTGCCCCCGTACCCCCCCATCTTCAGGTCTATGGGGTGACAAAGCAGAGTTGACACCCTGGGGCTTCATGCAACGCCCATGACAGGGTAGAAGGGGCCGTGCAAACCCACTCCGCAGCAGGACAGACCCAAGACCACGATCCTGCTGTCCTGCCATGCCAAAACCTGTGAGCCCCGCCGTGCCGTACCTTCCGGGGACGAGATGGTGGAGGAGAGGGGGGTCCCGGTGCACGAGGACTGATCGATGGCTCCTGACGACGACAGGGTCAGGTTTTCGCTCTCCGGCGTCGCGCCGCATTCCTGGAAGAAGAGCCCGTGGGGATGACGGGATGGGGGATATTTGGCAGGGATGGATCCGTCTCCTCCGGGCATCCTTATGGATGGAGGAAGAGCCAGGAGGGGCAAACCCCAGCCAGACCCTCTGGTCCCAAGCCTCCCCCAAACCTGCCACACACCCCCCCCCTTCCCACGGCTTGGCTCATCACCAGCACATTTTGGAGAGTGCTCACCTCCTCACACCGGGCAGGGGATCTCTTCCTGGAGACCCTCAGCTCCGATTCGGTGCACGACTTCTCGTCCTCCTCTTCAGGCAGGATGGAGGAATTCTGCGAGATGGACCTGCCCGGAGGGGGGCAAAGCAAAGGGCTTCATCCCCACCCGCAGCCCCCAGACTCCCCTGAACCCCTGTTCCCACCCTGGTACTCACTTGGAGAGGCTTTTCTTCAGCTTCAGCCCCGGGGGGCCGCAGTCGGGGAGGCGCTCGAGGGGCGAGAGGGCCCGCAGGGCGGGCAGGGGGCCGTCGCTGCCGTAGGAGGGCAGGGTCCCCGCGCCCGGGGGGTCCCCCAGCCCGCGCAGCGGCAGGGCGGCCGGCGACGGCGTCAGCGGCCCGTTGAGAGCCTCCAGCAGAGACACCACCTCGTAGCCCGGGGGGATGTTCTCTGAGGACTGGGGAGAGGGGGGAGATGGGGTGAGGGTCCCCCCTGGGCCATTTCGCTGCCCCCCACCCCTGCTCCTGGCAGGATCGGGATGCGCCGGGGATAAGCCAAACCCCAGAGAACAGGCAAACTACCTGCACAAATGAAAGCTCCCAATCCACCGTCTTTCCACCCGGCTGAAAGCCCTTTTTTGGCAATATCAAACTTGCATTTTTTTTTTTTTTTTGCAAGATCAATTTGCATCAAATAAATAAACCCTGGCCCCTGGAAGCATGTGCATCCCCAAACCTCCCTGGCCCAGCCCCAGTCGAGCACTGACCGAGTGCTCCTCGGAGTCAGAGGTCTGCGAGGCGATGATGGGGTTGAAGCTGGTGGGCGAGAGGGGACCCAGCTTTTTCCTCATGGCTCGGATTTGAAGCAAGGCCCGGAAAGCTGCGGCAGCGGGGATGAAGGACGGGGTGAATACTGAGCACCAAAAAGAGACACACACACCACTCCCTCCAAAATGCCACCCCATTTCCCAGGAGGGGCATCCCCTGCACTGCACAGCATCACTGCACGCGGGGCTGAGGGGACCCAAAAAAATGAGGATGGGAGATGCCAGCCCACCTCCCAGAGATGCCAGCCCACCTCTAGAGATGCCAGCCACCCCCCCACCCAAAACTCCAGCCCCCCCCTGGCCCTTACGCAGCCTGCAGATGGGGCAGTTGTTGGCCTGGTAGCGCAGGGTGTCGGCGCAGGTGTTGCAGAGGCAGAGGTGGCGGCAGGGCAGGATGAGGGTGTCCCGGACATCCGAGAGGCAGACGACACACTCGGCGCTGTTATCGCTCACCTCGTCCTCAGCCACCTGCCCCACGGGAGAGACGGGAACCGCTTGGCCTCGGGGTCCCCAGCCCGTGTGGCAGGAGGGTGGGTACCCTAAAATACAGGCTGGGTGCCCCGAGAGCTCGCTGCAGGGTCCTGCCCGTGTCCCTGGGCTGCCTGCTCTTGAAACACAACCCTGGGATCTTATCCCTCCCGCTCCTGGAGGCTGGGAGATGGGGCTGGAGGCATCAAGCACCCCACGGAGGGATGCACCCTTCACCCCAATTTTTACATATATAGAGCAGAGCACGAGGCACATCCCATGCTTTGAACCCCGCAGTCCCCTCCTAAACCAGCAAGATCAGGCCACTACCCTCCCAAAGGACCACAAAGGGTGGGGAGAAAAAGGCTCAATCCTTCAGCTTTTTGCCTCCAGCAGCTTTGATGCCAACACAAAGTGCCCCCACACACCTGCACGCCCCCGGCAGCTCCGTGTCGGGCTGCAAACTCCTGCCCCGAGCGTGTTTTAACAGGGGCACCCGTGCGAGGGGAAGGGAAGAGGGGACAAGGGAAGACCCATGGGATGGAGGCACGTACCTTGGAGTCCTGCGTGTTGTACTTGTTCTCGATGCCGTAGATCTCCTGCAGCAAGTAGCTCACACCGTCCACCTGCAAGCCCACGGGGAAGGGGTGAGGAGCAGAGACGTGTGTGTGTGTGTGTGTGTGTGTCCCAGCCACCACAGCTCCCAGCCCCCTCCTCAGGCCAGCCCTCCTCACCCCAACATTCGTCATTTTTGCATCAATGCACTCAAAAATTGCACTTGAAAAGCTGCCTGGGAGGGAGGAGCGGGGCAGGGGGAGGCTGCTGCCCACATCGGGGTCTGCTGCTCCCCGAAAGCCCCTCGCTGCCTTCCCCACGGGGGTGCCACCGCCTCAGGGACACCCGGACACTCACCACTTGCTTTTGCTTGAGGGGCTTCACGCAGAAGGTGCCGTCGCTGTGCTGGAGGGAGGAGAGCAGAGGGGTGGGCACCAGGGCTGAGCACCCCAGGGACTGCTGTGCTCCAGCACCCACCCGCCCCATCGCAGCTCCCACCTCGCTCCCAACCAGCCCATTTTGCAGCAATTCTGGTTTTTTTCTTGACACCCTGGTACCAGTAAGGCATGGGATGTCACACACATCGCAAGGCTGGAGACTTGTTAGAGCAAGGAAGAGGGAGTTGAGACCAAGCACCTCAAAAGTGGGTGCTTAAAATCAAGGATTTGGGGGATATTCACAGAATCACAGGATGGTTCGGGTTGGAAGGGACCTCAAAGACCATCCAGTCCCACCCCCCTGCCATGTCAGGGCCCCCTTCCCCCAGCCCAGGGGGCTCCCAGCCCCGTCCAACCTGGCCTTGAACCCTTCCAGGGAGGGGGCAGCCACAGCTGCTCTGGGCACCCTGGGCCAGCGCCTCACCCCCCGCACAGGGGAGAATTTCTTCCTTATGTCTAATCTAAATCTCCCCTCTTTCAGTTCAAAACCATCACCCCTCATCCTATCCCCCCACCCCCTAATCCAGAGTCCCCCCCCACCTCTCCTGCCCCCCCTTTAAGCCCTGGGAGGCTGCTCGAAGGTCTCCCCGGAGCCTTCTCTTCTCCGGGCTGAACCCCCCCCAACTCTCTCAGCCCGGCCTCCCAGGGGAGCTGCTCCAGCCCCCCCAGCATCTTCGTGGCCTCCTCTGGACCCACTCAAGAATTTCCAGAATTTCAGGAGTAACCCCAAAATAGCCCCAGCCCAGCAGAACCATCCTGAGCCCTGTGGGGTTTCTCCAGGTTCTCGCACCCGGTGGGCAAAGGGGCAGGAGGCAGGGGCCAGCCCCAGCTTGGCACTTACCTTCTCAAAGGTGGCCAGCAGCACGTGGCAGTGCCCGGTGTGCTCTGCAAGACACGAAGGGACAGGCAGGGCTCAGGGGATGGGCAGGGCCACAGTGGCAGCGAGGTGGCATCCAGTTGGTTCAAGGGTTGGCATCACAATGCCAGCAACTGGGAAAGCCCAACCCAGCAAGGAACCCCCTCCTCACCCTCTCCTTCATCCACCACCGCGTGCACCACCATGGGGTACACCTCTCGGTCCAGGTCGAAGCCCAGCTGGAGAGAGACAGGAGAAGAGGCTTGGTGAGATGCAGCAGTGATGGAGGCTTCATCCCACATCCGCAACCGTACCTGGCCCCGTGGTTGATGCCACAAGCTGGTGGGACCCACCTCTTCCTCGCTCCACTCAGAGGGGTCGACGGTGTGGGAGGGCACGCAGAACTGCTGGCACACCCCCCGCTTGTAGTGCACCGTCTCCGACTGCAGGCTGTTGTCCCTGGGGATGTAGCTGTCCCATGGAGAGAGGACAGAGTCAGGGGGTCCTGGTCCCCCCCGGCTCACAGAGATGCCGGGAAGATGGGAGAGAGGGGGGTCACTCCTCCCTCCCCTCCTGGATGCCTCGTGGGGACAAGGCAAGAAGTCCTAAAAAGAACTAAAATAATCCATGGGGTTAAAATAACCCCAGGGCAGCCAACGTGGGACAGGGAAAAACCCACAGACAAGCTGGTGGGGACGAGGACGGGCAATGGTTTCTCCCGCTCTCAGCTCTGACCTGGAGGGTAACAAGAGGAGCAGGACAGGACAGGGAAGGAGGTGGTGGGGGCTGGCAGGGACCTGGTGGTGGCACCCAGGGGACGCTCCATCTCCATCAACAGAGACCCACACCGGGCTTGCGGGGAGGGACAGACATGCCAGGCTGGGGCTCCTCACCTCGCCACCCCGTTGTGAAACTCCTCGCTCGCCTGGTAGTAGATGGTTATGGCTACACGGGCATCCGTGTCGAAGGTGAACTCCACGTTGTAGTGCACCTTGGCTTTGCTGACTTCTTCCCCTGGGGTCTTCACCTCCTCCGAGCACCTGGGGAGTGCAGAGGGTCCAGGAGATGGGCACCCCTCGGGGACAGCTCGGGGTGCCCCAGGTCTATCCCCCCAGCAAAGCCAGGTCCCCCAGTGCAAGGTTCCCCTCAGCACTGATGGCCCTAAAAAGGGCTGCCCCCTCCATCAGGGGAAACTGAGGCACACCAGGAGGGCCTGGCATGCCCAAGGTCAAGCCTGCAGGCTGGGGAGCACCACAGGCAGATTCCAGCTGTAATCCCGAATCTCCCAGCCCAGCTGCAATCCCCAGCCTCTCTCCAACAAAGCCTTTGGAAGGTGGGGGAGGAAGAAAAAGCAAAGCACTTCAAAGGCAGCACTAAACTCCTTTAATCCCACAGCGGAGCCAGCACAGCCAGTGCCCGGCTTTGGGAAGCTCACCCATGCCAGGAGGGGAAGAGGCACATTTGGACAGCAGTGGCTCATCCCCTCAACCCGCCCGTGCCGAGATGAGAGCATCCCCGTGCTCAGCATCCCCTGGAGCATCCAGCCAGACCCTTCCCTCCCCAAGGCTCATGGTTGGGGGGGGATCTGGCCCCAGCTTCCCCCCCGCAGGACTCACTTGACAAGGCGCAGGGTGTCCTTGCGGATGTTGATTAAGCTCCTGAGGGTCTTCACGGGTTCCTGAGGAGGTGGAGCAGCGTAAGGGAACTAGGATGAGAGAGACACCGGTGAAGGCAAACGCACGCGGAGGGGGTTACAGCGGCCATGGACCTTGTCCCTGGACCCCCCCCAGTGACCCAGCCCCAACCCGACACCCCCGTATGACACAGGGACCCAGGGTGGGCTGTGCATTCGCATGGGTGCTGAGCATCCACAGCTCCCGCTGGCACTTGGGTAGCAGGCAGCGTGATGGTGGGGACACATCCCTTTGCAAAGAGCAAGCCCTAAAGCCCTTACAGGGGACAGTTTCACTGAGGGGGGCACGTAGAAAGTGGCTGTTCCTTGTCCCTGTGGCTGGAAGGCGAGGGGGGTGCTGGGCACAGGGCAGGCAGGTGGCTGCTGGCGTATTTTTAGGCTGCCGATGCAGTGTGGAGTGAGGCTGGGCAGGGGGAGGCCGAAGCTCCCTCCCTGCCCAGCAGCCAGGGAACCTGTCCCTGATTCCTCCCAAGGCTGGAGGGGATTTGGGTGGGTGGGGGGTCTCTGCCAGCCCCGTGCCCAGAGCAGGGAGCCAATGGGGCGGGTGGGCAGCACCAGGCGGAGAGCAGCTCTATGAGAGAGAGGTGTCGAGCCATCCTCCGAGATGACCTTGTCCTTCCTGGTCCTTCCTGTCCACCTGCAGCCACCACGGGGGCTACAGGGCTTGCTGAGGAGAGGGGACACCCTCTCCTTGGCACTGCAGCCACCCAAGGGAGACCGAGGGCACAGGGGAAGGGATGCAGGACCCATCTCCCGCCAACTCCCAGCAAGGTTGAGCTCCAGGGAGGGGTCAGCCACCCCAGGGGACGACTCAAACACGTGTTGGAGAGGCAGAGGCTTATGCCAGGATTAATGCCCAGCTTGTTGGGGAGCTGTCACCGTGTGCCAGGGGACAGCCAGAGCCAGGAGGGCATCAGGTGCCATCGGGGATGGCAGATGCTCACAAGAGGCAAAGGGCTCAGGCGCTGCCTTGGGAGAGGGGATGTGTCACCACACCAGGCTGCCTGGGTCCCTTCATCCCCTCGTGATGCCTCCAGCCCAGATGGGAGAGGGTTGGGAACAGCAAGGCACCCGATGTACCCCGATACCAGGGGGACAAGACTAGATTGCAGATGGCACTCGGGGATGCCCCGCGGGGAGCCAGGTGCCCATTTCCCATGTCCCTGGCGCCCTCACGTGGGAAAGCCACTGTGCCCTTCCCCATCCCCAAAGCCACCGTCCCCATCCCCAAATCCATTGTCACCTTCCCCGTCCCCAAAGCCCTGCAGAGCAGGATGGATGGGGCTGGGGGAACCCGTGCTGGGCTCAGCGGGACGGGATGGGACAGGCAGCTCACAGGACCAGGCAGTGCAGGCAGAGTCCTGTCCCATCCCTCCTCCACCACCCGGCTGTCACCTCCTGCGTCCCACCATCCCACGGCTCTGGTCCCACCCGTGGCATCGAAAGGCAGGTTAAAGCCCAGGCTGGAGCCAGCGTGGCCGATGGCACACGCTGAAGATGAATCCACCGCTCCCTGGAATTGCCGCCCCCTCCCTCCCCTCCAGGAGAGGAAAAGGGCAGCTGAGTCATTAATCTGGTGTTAATAAGGTTTTTAACGAGTCACTAAATGCGCACCTGCAGAATCTCCTGTTGCAGCTGGAAAGGAACAAATGAGAAAAGGCTTCGAGGCTGGAGCTGAGCCGTGTTGTGACATGCCCTTCCATATCGTGATACTTCCTCTGCTATTCAAATTAATGAAGCAATCCAATCTCATTTGCACCTTGCCCAGCTGAGCCATACCCAAACCAGCCTGCAGTGAATGTCAGAGCTTGCCCTGGCAGGGAGAGCACCCATGGGTGCAAGCCCCCTCTCACCGCAGCACCCAAGGGTGGGCAATGGAGGGGGGAAGGGGCAGCTGGGTCCCCTGGGTGCAGCCCTGCGGGGGCCGTTGGGCTGAGCAGGATGGGGAAGCGCCACAGGCAAATTTCTTGCCACAGAAACTGCTTTGCTATCGTGGTTGGGCTCTTTCACACCCACATCTGGGCTCTTTTTTGGGGGGCTGGGGCTTTTTCTTGAATGAAGTTTTGCAAGCCGGATTTGCACATCAGAAAGGGGCTGTTTAAAGGACTTTTTGCATGTCCTCAATTTAAATCAAGCTGAAAAACAACAGAAGAAAACCTCACTGCAACCGTTACCCATTTAAAAACATCATCTATAGCGACATTTGGTCCAGACTGGCTTCTGTTAAAGTGAAAAATAACCTCCTCAAAAACCTCTCTTGGGGTTTTTCTACAGGCAGACCTAGGCTGGTTTGTGTGGGCAGGGAAACCCAGCGGCACATTTCAACAGTCCCCAGCTTCCCTGGAACGCCCCGTGTTCTCTGGGTGCCACAAACAGCTTCTTGGCCCTTGGAGAGGTGTCCCAGCATGGTGGCAGCTACTTAAACCTGCGACGCCCTTCCCAGCCCCTTGGGAACCAGTCCCCAGCTGGAAAATCCAGATTATCCCGTATCTGTGGCGGGGAGGGTCTGCACAGCCTCCGGGTGCTCAGCACATCCCCGCCGCAGCAGTGCTGTTACTAGCTCAGCCAAGGCATTCGGCTCAGAGAGGACTAGGGACACAATTTTCCCAAGACTTTCTGGCCCTCGACACCCAAGGAACCCAAAATAAATCCCCCACCAAAAAGCACAGGCCATCTCCTATGTTTCCAGTCCAGCCAGGGCTCACACAGCATGCCAGAATGAGAAAGCATCGCAGCCAAGAAGCATCAGGACAGGACTTGGAGGCGGCATCAGAGGTGCCCAAACGCTGCCTGGACACAGGCTTGGACCAGAAACAACACGGGTCCCCCTCGACCCCTCCCTGAGCCCCCAAAACTGACCTGACCCGAAAGCCCAGCCCCAAAACACCCGCCACTCCCCAGGAAGACAGGACCTCGGTCACAGCTCAGGGCCATCAGTAATTAAGCCGGAGCAAAACAATTTAGTTTGCAACGCTATATTAATTCTTTCTGCTGTTTCCAAGCTGTTCTTTTACCTTCCCCGCTGCTTCTGCTGTCAGGGCGCCTGACTCGGGAACTGCTCGCTGGGCAGTTTAGAGGCTTTTACTGTAATCAAGAGGATTTCTCAGCACTCGCTGCTGGAGGGAGAGCTCAAGTGCTGACTTTTCATTTTCTAGGGAAGCACGGAGGATGGAGAGAAAGGTGCTGGCTTTGCCCACCCAATGCTCACAGGTTTTGGGGGGGGCGGGGTGTGATCCTGCCCTTGGCTCTGCTGGGATCTCTGCTCTGGCACAGCCCAGGGCCGGGCGCTTCCCCGCTGAAGGGCCACACGATGCTGCCAAAATGCTGCCGAAGCCGATTTCAAGGAGGGAACACAAACCGGGACGGCAGCAGCCTCGCCAGCCCCACACAGAGCAGGCGGCGCTGGAGGGCTGGGCCATTAGCAGCAGGTAAATTCATCTTGACTCAATAGAAACGCTTTGTGGCCTGTTAATTCTTCACCTTGAATTTTTTTTAATACTTGACCCCCCCCCCTCACTGCTCTGGCCCATGCTGGAGAGCTGCACCCGGACAAGCTGGGGGACAATTGCCCCCGCAGCCGAAACCTGCCGTGGGGACAGCTCCGCTCTCATTTCCTCCCTTTCCAAAGGCAGCGAGCAGAAAACACATCTCCAGGACTGTGGGGTCCAGGGACCTCCCCCGCAGCCGGGATTCCTAGAACCAGCTGGAGCCAGCAGCACCCAGCACCACGAAACCCATCGGAGCTGCCCACTGCCCCCACCAACTCCACCTTTTGGGTTTTTTTCCCCCCTTTTTCGCTAAAGCTTGGGGAATACTTTTGCCCGCTCCAGTCCAAGCTACTCTACCCCGCAGCGCGCCAGCACGGCTCCCAGCACGTCCCCCACCCTGTGCCGCCTGGGCTGGGAGGTGGCTCCTGGCTGGGCTGGGAAAGGCAAGTGGAAAAGCAGCGATCAGAGGAGGAATGAGAAAGAGGGAGTTGGGCTAAATCAGCCCGTTACCCCTCACCATCTTTTTCACCAGCTGATATTATTAAGCTGGCGGGTTTGTGCATGCAAGCAGCCCTTGCAGGTTGTAAAATACGTGCAGGTCCAATGACCTGTGACACAGGTGCTGCAGAGAGCAGCACCCAAAGGCAGATGTCACACCACCGCCCAGTCCATTCCCAAGCACCTGCAAACCTATGCAAGGCTTGCAGCTCCAATTTGGCAGCGAGGCAAGAGATACAGCAATAACATTTTGTTGCTGTGGAGCGCGTGGCTGTGGGTGGGATGGCTGAGAGGAGACCTGGGTTAGTCCCCGATGGACGAGGGGCTGCAGCAAGTAGCCAAACCTTATATTAGACATCAGAGAATCCACTCAGGCCACCCCAAGTGTGCTTGGCTGGCTCTGCCCTTGGTGGGGGTGGCAGCCAACAGCCTTATAGCATGACACACACAGTCACTACCACTTTGGGATGGGGCATGCCTGGGCCCTGTGTGTGTGTCCCCCCCCAGCCCCCTGTGTCCCCCCAGTGCCCACCACCACAGGCCGGTTCCCCAGGAAGTTGAGGTCGCTGTTCTCGCCGAAGAGGTAACCCTCGGGGTGCGTGGAGTCAAACTTCTCGCCGCCCATGATGAAGTGGTTGGCAAAGTAGCTCCCTGGAAAGAAAACACAGAGACCTCCTGAGCGGAGGGGGAGGACGGGGCTTCAACCAGGCGACGGAGCGGCACGAAGCCACCGAATCGATGGCTCAGAGGTGGCTTTGTCCCCGAGGTCACCTTGCTGGGAGCCTTTTGGTTTGAGCTCACGCGCTGCCAGCCCCGAAGCAGGCAGAGGTGGAGGGGGAGCTGCCGAGCTGCCTTTGGCCTGCCCGTGCTGCCCTCCCCTCTCCCTGCCCGCATCCCCCCGCTGCCGGCAATCCCAGCCCTGCCCGGCCGCCGCGATGGCCCAAGTCCGGGCAGAGAGAGCCGGGACGGGGAGAGGTTTGGTGCCGGGGTCCAGCCCCACGGCACCGCCTGGCCCTGGGGCTGCTCCATCCAGCGGGATTTAAACAGGAGCAGGATCACCCCGCGGGGATTTGGCTGCGTCCCTCCCCGAGCGCAGCGCCTGCTCCCCTTTCTCTGCTCGGGAAATCCCTGCGAGCCCCAGCCCGGCCTGAGCTGCCCAAGGTCACCCCGACCTTCAGCCGTCCCCGCGCTGGCAGGGGCGGCCAAACCCTGGTCTGCACGCAGGAAGGGGAGATGGTTCCCAGGGCGGCGGAGCAGGAGAGCGGTGCTAATCCTCTGGACCAGGCACCCTCAAAACGGGCAGGGTTGCTCCTGCCCAAAGCCCAGCATCACGGACCTCGTGTGCCAGCTGAGGCAGCGCGTCCACAGCCAGACACCTGCCCGGGTTTGCTGCCACCACCGCCGGGAAGGCAGGCAAAGCACAGCTGAACTGAGTTCTGTCAGTTCTCAGCCTGCAGCCTTCCCTAGGAAGGACTTGCCTACAGGAGGGAGGATTTTGAGGGGCTGTCAACAACGCCCCTGCAAAGCACCCCACATTGCCCTGATGAACACTGGGCAGTGACCAGTGTCCCTTCTTCCCTTGCAGGGTAAAGCACAGAGCCAAAACACTGGCTTGTCCTGCCCCTCAAGCTGGGAGCAGCCCCAGGCCAGGCACTTCTTAACTACAAGAGAGATTTTCATACCAGCTCAGCCAGGAGCTGACTGATGTCTGCTCCTTGTCCACAAGATCTGGGGGCAGGAAGGTTGGGACTTCTCCATGAGGTGGGAAAAGGAAGGGAAAGGGGGAGGTGATCAGGGATGGCGAGGGGTGAGCAGAAGCACCAGGAGTCAGAAGAGGCAATGGATGGAGGATGGGCACGGTACCCTGCATCCCACCAGTCACAGGGAACAGGGTCCAGCTTGCAAAAACCCCAAGCCCAACAGCACAGAGCCACCCACAGCCCCCCTGGGGACATCCTGAAACTAAACCTTTGGGGTCCACAGGTAAAGGAGCTCAAGCCTGGGCTGCAGCTCTGCCTGTGGGGACTCAAGTCAGAGCTTGCAGTTACCTTCCAGCAGATGCAGTGACAGACCAGGGCTGGATCGGGCCTTAATATTGCATTTAAAAAACAAAACCGAGCCCAAAGCTCACAGGGGAGGAGGAGGAGGGATCTAACGCCGGGGCAGGAGGGACGAGCGGGGCCACACAGCTTCACCCGAAGGCCCCGCTGCGCAGGGATGCCCGGATGCAGCGCGCCCGTTAGCAAACGTCGACCATCAATTATTGATGCCTGCTGCTTTCTGGTCCCATTTTCCATGTACATAATTTATAGGCAGCTCCCCAGGGAAGGACACAGCCACGTAAAAAAAAAAAAAAAAAAAAATCCAAGGGCAAAGTGCCTTCAGAGCTGCCTGCTGGGGGAGAATGGGGCCGTCCGGAGCTTTTTATGGCACGGACTTGGGGTGAGAGCAGGAGATAGAAAAAAATTATATTTAAACCTGCAGAAGAAAAAAATTATATTTAAACCTGCAGAAAAGGTATCCCAGCACTGGGGAAAAGCTCTCTGTGATGGCCCCAATCGTGGTCTGGTGGGTGCTGGGGGATCCCATAAGATGGACAGAGCAGGCGAGGACCACACTGCCATCACCCAGTTTCCCTGCGGGGGGTTGGGAGCCCCTCTGGGTGCTGCAGGCTCCCAGTGCACCCCATGCATGTCCCAGGGGCTTCAGCTCCTGCTTTGCAGCAGACAGCACTGGCCTCACACTCCCTCCCAGGGAAGATCCTCCAAAAACCTTGCCATTAAACAAGAGCCTTGGGTCATTCTGGGCTCTGCCAGGGGAACACCAGCACGGGAAAGCCCAGGGCATCAGCAGAGCCCAGGGCATCAGCAGAGCGGAGTGTGCCAGCCCCACTGGGTGCTGGTGAACCCATGGGTGCGACTGGGTAGCAGAGGAGGGAAGCACCTTTCCAACCACAGCTACCTTATTATCAGCTAATTATAAATCCTTAACCAACGCCTACCCCCAGGGAAGGAAAGCCCATCAAGGACAGTCACATCGCAGAAGGAAAGCCGGGCTTTAATGAGAGCTTAAACTTCAGAGGCTGGGCGAGCATGTGGGAAGGGCTGAACAGAGTGGCTGCTGGAAAGGAGGAATAAACCAAAATTGCCTGAGGTTTCTGGCAGACAAAGCGTGTCCTGCATGCCTGCTAGCACCAGCATGCGGGGGGATGTATCCGGCACCCTCCGGTGATGCTGTCACCGTCACTGTCAGCACCTTTTCTCCATGAGTGCCTGGGATGCCACCTTGCCCAGATGCCCTGAGACAGGCAAGGACCCCGTGGGTGCAGACCCTGGTGTGTGCTGTGGCTGTGCCCATGGCTCTGGCACACGGTGGCACCTGTCCTGCATCGTCCCCTGAGCCATCGCTGCCTGGCTGGGGTCTGGCTCAGCTCTGGTAATGCAGCCTCTGGTTCTTGAAAGTCAGAGCCTGGATGTTTTTGCAGGGTCACAGCCTGGCTCTCCAAAGCAGCTAGAATAAAAAAGCTCATTTTCAGCCCATCCACACGTTCCCAGAGCGGGAAGCGCTGAGTTTCGCCCAGCCTGGGGTCAGCTCGGTGGCCGTGGCACGGCACAGGGCACGGGAACACCCCACGGCAGTGGGTGCTGGGTTAAAAGGCACAATGTGCTTCTCCCCCAGGGCCGCTCGGTGAGCTGGCACACTGCAGTTTATTTAATTCAGTGCTCCAGAGCAGGCAGCCAGAGCCAGCAGCAGCCGGAGGCAAAGCCAAACCCCCCCGGCACGGCTGCGTCAGCCCTCACCTGCGGCCCCAGGAGCCCCCCCGGGCTGCACCCTGGGCCATGGCAGTGCCACCACCCTGGGGTTGTGCCCCCCGGACTGGGGGTGTCACTGCCTGGTTAACCCCTTCGCTCTGGTTCCCAGCAAGAGCCCTGCTCACGGTTCCCCCTCCCGTGTGACTCAGGGGAGCTGGGTGCTGGCCTCAGCCAGGGACAGGGGCTGAAAGCCGGAGACTTGCCCCGACAGCCATCCCACTAGCCAGGCAGTGGGCTCCATAAACAGCCTCGACTTGTTCTCCCTCCCATCGCCTTTGCCAGCATGAGATTAGAGCCACTGAAGTAAATCCCAGCCTTTGCTTCAAACTACTGGTTTAACTAACCGCATTTGCACCCTGCCTGGAGGGGATGGGACCCTCAGGGTGGGAAGGGGAGATGCCTGACTGGGACAAGATGTGGCTGCCCTATTCCCACGGGCTGCACCAGCCATCCTGAGCAAGGCTGCAGCCAAACAAGCCACATCGGCAGAGAGAGGGAAATGCCCCGGGGTCCTGTGAGACACCCCCTCCTCCCCCCCCCCCCCCCGGGCCACGTTTCCAAAGCCAGTGGCTGTGTCCAAGCAGAATTCAAGGTGAGAGAAGCACTGCTGCCATGGAGGAGCCAGCTCTGCTGCTTGGCACGTCCTCCCCTGCCTCCCTCCCGGCTGCCAGCAGCGCTGAAGGCAAATCCCCTCTTGGCTTAAAAGCAAAACAGCCATAATCTCCCACAGTCACCAGCCTGCCCTCGTCCCAGTGCAGATGGCCAGGTCACCTGGGCACCTCCTGCCACTCTCCCCGAGGACCCCAGGCAGCACCAGGACCCTTCCCCCCACCCAGTGCTGCCCAGGCCCCGTCAGTGGGACCAGCCCCACCAAGAGCACCCAAAAGCCCCAGTTTCTCCCTGAAAGCCGGAGTTAAATATCAGCCCGGTGTCCTCTGCTAGCTGAGATGAGTTTGGAAGTGCTCAGCTGGGTGCACTTGCTCCCCCAGAGCAGGGCACCACACTGGCACCCTGCAGCCCTTTGTACCCAGATATTTCAAGAGCCCCTATATAAGAAGAAGTCCCAAGATAAAACTCCTTAATGCACGGAGCTGCAGTCCCTGCAGAGAGAAAACCCACGGACGGGGTGGTCCAGCTTCAGCTGGCATCAAGGTGACAAAGGCCTTGAAACCACGTAAAAGGGGAAGCTGGGGGGAGCCCCTCGGGAGGACAGGCTGCCAAGGATTGGCCGTCTCCACCCCGCAGTGCCCCAGTTAACCCCCACCACCGCAGATGTGCCAGCCAGCTGTGCAACCGATTTTGGATTAAGATTTTTTTAAAAAGCCAAGCACAGCTTTCCAGGACAAGCGAGGTTCCTGTTGGCTGTAATTCTTCCTAAGGAGGTCTTTATTTGTAATTAGCGAGCAATTTGTCATGGCACTAATGATCCAAGCGTTTACCTTATCCTATTAACTACCAAAATAGTTACCTATTAATAATATTCAGTGCCGCAAGGATCCTGTGACAATCCCTGGGCACACACACGGTGCTCCTGGGCATCATCCGCTGACAGCAGTATTTTTGCAGCTCTGAAGCGCTGCCCACCCAAGGACCAGAGTCCATCACTTCTCCCCACTGTGACCCCCTCATGTTTCCCCCCCAGGACACCCGCTCAGCCCGGCCATTTGCAGGGAAAACCAAGGCACAGAGGGGAAGGACAGATTTTCCAAGGTCACACACAAGGTTTGAGGCAGGGCTGGCTTCGGGAGCCGGAGAGACATCGCAGCCAAGCCTTGAGGCAGGGTGAGGAGCTGGGGAAGGTGAAGTCTCCCCACGGCAGAGGTTGGGGTGCTGCTATGGGGCAGGGCCATGGGAAGGAGGGATCCCCTCCAATCCCTCCCACCTCAGCCTCCCTCATCCTCCCGGGAATTTAAACCTAGGCTTTTCCCCGAGCAGCCAGCACCGGAGCGACCAGCTATAAAAAGAGCTCCGGCTTTCCCAGCCTGGCGCCGCAGACCGCGGGTACAAAAATTAACAATAATATGATTAAAGTCACATCAACTTAGCCAAGTTTGGGAACCGGGCTTGGCTGGCAAGGGGGCACCCGGAGAGGGGGCACCCCACGGGCAGACCCAGGGGTGACCCCATCCCTGCCGCGCCGCACAGACCCAGGGTGCCCAGCACCAGACCTATATTTTTAAGGGTGTCGTGTCGTCGTCCCCCCCCCCCCCCCAGCTGTGGGCGGTCAGGGTTTGCTTTAAGGTGCGCAGGGGCACCCCCCCGACCGGAGCAAAGTCGGTCCCCGCCCTGCTCGCTTCCCCTCCCCCCCCCCCCAGCCCGGCGGCGGCACCGGGACGCGGGACCCCCCCCGCGGGCTCACCGGATTTCGGGGGGTATCTGTAGACGGAATTAGCGGGGATATCCACTTCCTCCACCCCTGCGTTTTGCCGGCTGGTCAGAGCCCCCATGGCCGGGCCGAGGCTCAGCGGGCGAGATGCGGCGGGGTGCCCTCCCGCCCGGGACCGGCACCGGCACCGGGACCGGGGCTGGCGGCGGCGGCCCCCGCCCGCAGCATCCTCCGCTCTGCGCCGCGCCCGGCACCGCCTCCGCGCTAGCGCCGGGGCTGCGCCAATGCGGGGCCGAGCCGGGCCGGGCCCCCCCCCGCCCCGCACCGCCCCGCACCGCCCCGCCGCGGCACGGCTCGGCTCGGCTCGGCTCGGGGACAAGGGGACACGGCGCTGCCGCCGGCCCCGGCATCGCCCCGGTGTCCCCCACCCGCACAGCAGGGCCCCCCCTCAGGTGACACTTCCCTGCCCCCCCAGCACAAACGTGTCCCCCAGTGCCACCCACCCTGGTGGCACCCGGTTGCCTCCGGTACTGCTCACTGGTTCCCCTTGCCCCCCATACCATTCATCTGCCCCCCCCTCCCCAGTCACACACCCCAGTGACCCCAGCCCGTCCCAGTATGACCCTTCTCCCACCCTTGCCCCCAGCCCCACCAGCTGGGTGACACTGAGCAGCACCCCCATCCCAGGGACCCCCAGGGACAGCCTGGGCCCCCCAGGCTGGCTCAGAGCACGGCCTCTCTGTCGCTGTACAGCCCCCCCCCCCTCTCCCCGCAGCTGTTGGGGTGTCCCTTGGGAGAAGGCCAAGTCCCCCCCTTTTCCCAACAGGTTCCCTGGCGCAGGGGGGAGGAGATGGAGCAGCCGTTGGCACAGGGGCTGAGCCCCTCCGGCAGCAGCCCAGGGCTGCACAGAGCTGGGAGGGGGGGGTCAGATTAAAAGCCCCCCCAGCACACACCTCCATCTTCGCCACCCTGCCTTCCCGGCTCTGCCCTGCACCAGGAGCAGCCGCGTCAGCCAGGCGCAGCCTCTGGAGGCCGGGAGCTGGCTGTCTGCTCCTCTGCACCCCAACGCACCCCCAGATTCCCCCAGTATGAAGCTACTGGGAAGCTCTGAGCGCCTTTGCATCTTCCCCTTGGGGATGGAGGTGAAGGATGGACCCTTTGACCTCCCGCTTAAAAACGCTGGCGATGAATTCGTCTTGCAGTGCAAGTTAGTGGAGCATCACATGATTTTGATTTGAGTTGATAACACGAGTGCTATAAATATCAGACGGGAGATGTGCAGATCAGCTGCCCCGATGTCGTCGGCTGCTCAGCGGTGATGAGCAAAGGCCGTCCCCGGAGCTCCCCCCTTCACACCCTCCCTGCAAAGGGCCACACGCATCTCCCTCCCCGATTCCTTTCTACCAGCACAGCCCCAGGGGCGGCTGAGAAAAGCCAAACCAAAGAGCAGTGGCCACCGTGCTGGGCAGCCTTGTGCCCCGTTTTGTCAGCCTGCCGCCGTCCCACGGGGACCCGCAGCCCTGGCAGTGACACCGTGTCCGCACCGCTGGATGTCACACCCGGGCTGGGCGTCAACGGGAGCGTTGGCCGAAGAGGAGTCGAGGGCAACACCAACAACCGGGAGCCTGCTCCGGTTCTCAGAGCTGACACCCAGCCCTGAGACCCCAGGGGCTGATCCCCGCTCACCCCAATGTTTCGGGGAGCCTGTTCTGCAGATGGATCATTTAAAAATCTAGCCCAGCCCAGCACTGCTGAGCTGCCGGCACGGCCCCACTCCTCTGCCTCACTCCAGCCAGCGACGACAGCGAGAAACACGAGCCTGGGAGAAGGAGCCAGCACATTTCATTACCGGCACACAACAGACTGCAGGGTTTTAGTGCAGATAATAATTCAAAGTTATCCCCGTGCAGATCCATAACCCAGCAGTCATTACATGCAGAGCTGCTGTGTGCATGCACGGCTTGTGGGGTTGTTTTGTTTTTTTTTTTTTCCTTTTGCTTTTTTTTTTCAGCGGTGTATTACTGCAGCAGAGGATTTTGTAGGGCAGTGCCGCAGTGGAGTGCAGGCAGGAGCTGGGTGACGATACGGCTTCGAGGGCAGGTTCCCTCCCAGTCCTGCCTGGCCACATCCACACTGGACTCCAGCACATGTAAAACCAGGACAAACCCCAGAGGGGCTGACCTGGCAGGGATGTGGGGAAGGGGAATCCAATGCATGGAGAAAAAAAAAGCAATATTTAACCCCAAAACACACCTGGTGCTGGGGAAGATACCAGTCTGAAGCACTTGTGCTGCCCAGCTGCAGGATTTGGTGCGTGTGTTTGGCAGGGAAACGGGATCCTGCTCCTGCCTCCTTGTGCTGAGAGGGAAACTGAGGCACAGGAAGGCACAACGGATTTGCTCGAAGGTTAAACAGGAGAGCAAACGGCTCACCCATGGCAGTAAACATTTGTCGTACACCCAGTACTCCCAGCTCCTCCAGCACATGCTGAAGAGCCGAAAACCCACCCTGGGCTGGCTCGGCCCCCAGCCCCGTGCAGCTCAGCAGAGAGGCTGCCCCGGCCCTGCAGCGTGGCAACGGCTGGGGGGGTAGGAATGGGCCCTTTGTTAGTGGGTGCTGAGCCCCTAATGAGCTGCTGCATCATTAGTCCCTCCAGACTGGTTCCCAGAGCAGGTCCTGGCTGGGAGGGTGCAGCAGGGTGCTGGGAGCCCACACCCTGCCCAGAGGGGTGACCCCACAGCCCCCGTGGGTCTGGGGGGGTGGCAGGGCAGCGTGACTGATGGGAGGACGGCAGAGCATCTCAGGCAGGGTCAGGCCAGGGAGGGTCGATGGCAAATCCTGCCCTTGCTGTAAATCCTGCCCCAAAAAGGGGCTTTTCCACCAGCTGGATGGTGCGGTGGGAATAGCCGAGGCGTTTGCAGCAGTCTTGTGGCTCCACAGCCAGGCTAGGCGCAGAGTTTCCTTCCGAAGGACTGAAGGTCCTGCTTGCTTTTCCAAATGTCCCTAACACTGTGTTTTATCACAGCCTCGGACAGCCGTTGCCTGTGTGAGCCCCGCTGGTTTGCACGCGAGGGCTCGCAGCGCCGTTTCCCTGGGTTTCACGGGCAGGCCCTACCCGAGGCCGGTTGCTCGCAGCTTTGCTAACTCAGCTAGAAGCCGCGCCGTGCACACAAGCGGGTGTTTCTGGCAAGCGGGAGGTCCGGAGCACTGTCCAGGAGGCAGGTGGGTTTGGGATCCCGGCTTCTGGAATTGCTCTTCTCACACCTCCCCCTGCCTCAGCGCTGGCTTTGCCCCGGGAGGATAAAGCTGCTAAAAATCTCAGCCGGGCAAACAGGACCCTCCGTATCCGTTGCTGCATCCAAGTGAGCGGGATCCCCCCCGAACACCCCGGGGCGATACCCAGCTCAGGGAAACCAGGCACCGGCACCGCTGCCTGCGGAGCCCCACCTGCGTGGGACCATCGGGACTTCACACAAGTCCCACACAGGCTCTTGCACCCCGGCCGCAGATGCTGCTTCGAGTCTCCGTCCTGCTGCCTCTTCATTCTTTCTCCCAGCTGGTCACCACCGCCACATCCAGACCTCTGACCCACGCTTAGGTCTCAGCTTCGTCTATTTTTGCGCCATCCATTTGCGAAGCGCCCCGTTTTCTCTTCTGGTTTTTGAAGGCTGCTCTTCCCCTTCTTAATTAAAGCCTTCCAGGCGTGCATTGCATTGGTCCCGTTTGGTCCCCAAACCCGGCTGGGGGACACGCATCACAGGGGAGCTTGCTCACCCTTGCAGGCTTGTGGCTGAAGCTTGGAATCACCAGGATTTTAAACATTATGTTACAAATAATAATACAAAAAAAAAAAAAAACACAAAAAAAAACCAAGCAAACTTGGGAGCTCTGCCTGAGCCCCTCCTGCCGGTGCCTTCCTCCGGAGGGGCGTGCAGGTGAGCTCAGGCCGGGTACCCCCGGTCTCAGGGTGGGTCCCTGCCCTGAGGGGCAACAGGGTCCCCAAGAAATTAGGGGGGGGGTGTGAAGCAGCAGCAGGGAGAGGCAAGGAGTGGGGGGGGTCACCCCGCCTGGAGTGCTCCTCAACCCCGGGTTGGGGGAGTCCCCTCCTCCTCCCGCGCCTCTCAATGAACCTCCTCAATGAACGTGACGTCACCAACGCCTCCAGGATTAAAAAAAAAAAAAAAAAAAAAAAAAAAATCAAAACCCACAGAAAACCCACAAAAAAACCTCGCGACGCACCCAATCAGCGATCGGGCCGCTCCTCTGCCCGCCCGCCCCGCCCCCCGAGCGCTCCCGCAGCCAATGGCGGCGCCGCCTGCAGCCAAAACACAGGCGTGGGCCAATGGGGAGGCGGCGGGGCGGGGCGCGGCGCTGGGGCAGCTGGAAGATTCGAACCGAACGCCCGTCGGGGCGGGCGGCGCGGCGGCGGCCAATCAGCGCCGGGGGGGGGCGGGGCGTGCCCGTGTGTGTGTGTCCGTGTGTCCGTCTGTCCGTGTGTTTTCCCCCCCCCTTCCCCTTCCCTTCCCCCCCCCCCCCCCCGCCGCCCCCCGGTGTCGGCGCGGAGCGGGGCGGCGGGCGCGCTCCGGGCAGCCAGGCCGGCAGCTCGGCGGGGCTCCCCCCCCCCCCCGCCCCGGCCATGTCGGTGAATATGGAGGAGCTGCGGCACCAGGTGATGATCAACCAGTTCGTGCTGGCGGCCGGCTGCGCCGCCGACCAGGCCAAGCAGCTGCTGCAGGCGGCCCACTGGCAGTTCGAGGTACGGGGGGGCCCCCCCCTCCCCTAATTCCCACCCCCCCCCCCCCCCCATCTAACCGGGAGCCCCCGCCACCCCCGTGCCCGCAGAGCCACGGGGCGGAAGGCGGGGGGAGAGGCCGGCTCAGACGCGGCCCACCGACACGCGTGGGCAGCCCCCCCACCCCTCAAGCACCCACGGCGGGGCGGGGGGGGGGGGGGGGGAAGGGAACCGGCTCCGAGCTCCCCCGAGTCTATTTATACCCGGGCCGTAACCCGAGCTGCGGCCCAGCGCCCCCCCCCATCCCATCCCATACCGAACTGAGGGCGGGGGGGCCGTGGGTGGGCCCGCTGGGGGGGGACCCCGTATAAACAACGGGGGTTAGCTGTACCCCCCCCCCCACCCCGCGCGGGGAGCCCCTACGCGAGGGTGGGACACGATCGCGAGTGGGTCGGGTGAAGGGCAGCACTTGCTCCCCTCTGCCTTAATCCTTTGGAGGGGGGGTGGGACGCCCGTGGATGTCCTCCCCTCCCCGACGTGGTCCCACGGGGGTGGGGGTGAGCAGGGGGCCGTGGGGCAGACAGGAGATGGGGGGGGGGGGCCCATGTTTTCCTTCCCACCCCCCCCCACCACCACCACTTTGTCTCGGGTGGGCTGGGGCTGACAGCTTGTCCCCACAGACGGCCCTGAGCGCCTTCTTCCAGGAGACCAACATTCCCAGCAGCCACCACCCCCCCCAGATGGTAAGTGGGACCCGACCCCCCCCCCCCCCGCCCCTCCGCAACACCCCCCGCCCATCCCCAAACCCACCTTTAAACCCACCCCAGCAGCTACCAACCCCCCCCCCCCCCCCAAACCCCCACACCTACAACCACCACCCAGCTCAGGACCCCCCCAAGTCCCCCCCCCAAGGGGTCTGTGGCCCCCCCCGGGCCGCGGAGCTGTCAGCTCCCCTGCCAGCCATATTGCTCAGCGCCCGGAGGAACACGCAGCCGGCGAATGTAAACACGAGCTAAAATGTCTGCCAGGAAATAGTTTGTCTCCGTGAGCATCGTGCTGGAAGTTGGGCTCCCTGGGCCGGGGGGCCACTGCTGCCCCCCCCTTCCCCAAACGCCGCTTGACCTTGGCCGAGGGCACATCCCCTTGGCCAAGGGGAGGAAGTTATTCCCCTCTGGGTGGTTTTTGTTGTGTTTTTGGGGTGTTTTTTTCTTTTTTTTTTTTTTTTTTTTTTTTCCTGTTGAGGGAACTAAACAGTGCCGCACGCGGGGGAAGGAGAGGATCTGGGCTAAGGCGATTTTTTTTTTTTCTTTTTTTTCTTTTTTTTTTTTTTTTTTTCCCCCCCTTTTTCCCTGCCATCAGGAAATTGCCAGCCAGCCCAGCATCGCCAGCAGCAAGCGCTCGCTCTCGGAGAAAGTCATTTTGCCAGCCGGCTCCCACTTAAACCCCTTTTATTTTAATTCCTCTTTCTCCCCCTGCACATTTTCTCGCCGCCTCGGGCAGCTTGCAAAGGGTCCTCTTGCAGAAAACCCCCTTTCGCGGGAGGAGAAGGGCCGGGGGAGCGGGCGGGAGCTGCCGGCCGGCCCCGGGCTTCGCTGTGTTTTCACACCAAAAGCCTCGTCGGGGCAATTCCCGTCGGGCGGCTGCCGGAAGCGGGATGCAAAGCAGCTCCGATGAAACCCATCCCGTTCCTCACCCCTGCGCTCCCTGGGGCCGAGCGGGGATCCCCCCGTTCCCCCCCCCCCCATCACCCCCACCCAGCCTGACATGAAGGGCCTGGAGCTGGACGGCTCTCCCCCTCCCCACGGGTGTTTTTCTAACACCGTGTGTTCCACACGGTGACAAAATACCTTTCACCCTATCCCCAAATACTCCCGCCTCGCATTTTTGGCATTTTTTTGCTGCTATCCACCCCCCCACATGCGCCCAGCATCCTGATTTCTGCAGCTTAAAATGCCCCGCACGGCTCAGGGCAGGGGGGGAGACGAGGGGCTTCACAGTCGCCTTTTTTATTTCTTTTTCAAGCGGCAGAGAACAAAGCTGTGAGTGCAGCAGTGTTATGGCGTGGGGTGGCACGTCACCTCCCCCCCCCCCCCCCAGAGGGGAGGCTCCCCACACCCGGCAAAACCCCCGTGGGTCTGGGCTGTGGGGAAGGGACTCACCAGAGCTGTTTGGTGTGTCGGTGCAGCAGCTCACGGTGGGACTGACCCTCTGACAACCGAGCAGCTCCTTAAAGTGTTGGAGGAGGAAGGCAATAATTACATGGCAATTCTTATTCTTATTTTTTTTTAAATTAATCTGTCAAACGGCACCCCAGAAGCTCAGAGCTGTGCCCCCCCCCAGCTTCCAACATCACATCCAACCTCAGTCCAGGGCTGGTGTTTGCTGCATGTGTGGCTGTGTTGTTTGTTTTTTTTCAAAACACGGTCACTTAAAGGTTTTGGTTGTTTGTATTTTTTCCTTTTTTTTTTTTTTTTTTTTTTTTTGCAACAAATATCTTTTCAGATAGTGCCCAATGTATAGGCTATTTAAAAAAAAAAACAACCCCAAAAATAGCTGACTTACCACTGTTTTGAGGTGATCTCTGAAATGAGCTCTCCCAAAGTCTGTGTGTGGTGAAGGAGGAACGTCCCCACTTGCCACGAGCCCTTTCAGTGCCAGCCTGCCTGTAACTGCATTTTTGGGGTGCACCAGCTCTGCACGCTGATGGGAGCTCATCCATCCTGCTGCCAGCACGGGTTTCCCCAAGGCTGGAGGAGCACCCCACCTTCGAATAGGCCGGGCTGGGACCCCCCCCCGGCTGCAGCAGTGGGGAGCGGGGGGCACCTGCAGTGTGCCCGGCTGCTCCTCTGCTCCCAGCAGTCGCTGGGATGGGGGTGAGGAGGAATCTGTAAGAAGGATTCGGACACTTGTGTGCGCTGGGGAGCAGCCGGGGCTGCTGAGCACCGGCTAGGGCAAATCCTGGGATAACCCCCCGGGCAGGGGGAGGTGCAGGAGCTGTCCCCCACCAGAAGCGACTCCCCGAACCCCCGTTGCTGGAGGCAGCAGATGCTGCCCCGGCATCCCCCCGAGCGGCGCGGCTGTGCCCCGCATCCCGCGGGAGCTGCGGCTCCGAGGGCGACAGGGATCCGCGATGGATTTAACCCGGTGGGGTGAAGCCCCTCCACGCATGCACCCCATACACCTACCCCCCCTCCCCGTGCAGCCTCAGGGGAATTTTGCTCTGGGGGTCTAGTGGGGGGGATGTGCGCCCCCAGACCGTTTCCCCCCACTGCTGCTATTTCTAACCACCCCCCTGTCATGTGTGTTCAGAGTAGCCCATGGCACATCCCTGCTCCCTGCCAGTGCCCCCACCCCCAGAGATAAAAAAAGGGGGAAAGGGCATTAGGGCAGGTGCCCACCCAATTTTGCACCGCTGGGGTGAAGTCCTTCCCCCCCCACATCACCTCTGGGGGGCTTTAGCACCACCCCCCCCATACTGAGTGTAGCAAGTGCTTTGCTGAATTGGGGTCCCTGGTGCCACCAGCCCCAGTGTGGGGCTGTGTCCCCCCCCCCCCACCGGATTTTCCTCTGATGGTGAGATTGGCTTCAAGAAGGGCCAGATCCGGCACCGGCTGAGCAGTGGTGGCGGGGGGAGGGTGCTAAATTTAGCTGGGTACGCAGAAGGCAGGGGCTGTACCAGGAACTGCGCGGGGCCCGGGCCCCCCGCCTCGCATCCCTAGGGGGGACCCTGTCTGCTTTTCACTCCCTCTGCCCTAATAGGGTGCAAAGAGGTGACGGGGGGGGGGGCTTCTGTGGGTCCAGGGACCCCAACACCCTCCCCACCTATCACGCTGGACCCTTTTACATCAGCCCCATCCCTTCTGCTCCCCTCCATGGGGCAGCTGGCATCAGAGCAGCGTCCCCCTCCCCAGACCTGTGCTTGGAGCACCCTGGATGGTCCAAAATGTCCTTCCCAAACTGGGCTGGAGACCTTCCCCAGGCATCTCCCCCGCTTCTTTTTTTGGGGGGACACACACACACCCCCCAATACCAGCTCGACTTGAGCTGTGAGCATCCCCTGGGGCTTTGGGTGGGGGAGGTCCCGGGTGCGGGATGCAGTCAGTATCCCCAGCCCCATCGGGCTCCTGCGGACAGCTTGGCGCCCCAAAAACCACCCGTGCCCCATCTGACACACCTACCTTCTCCTCTGACCCCCGCAGATGTGCACCCCCAGCAACACGCCGGCCACGCCGCCCAACTTCCCGGACGCTCTGGCCATGTTCTCCAAGCTGCGGACCTCCGAAAGCCTGCAGAGCAGCAACAGCCCCATCACCTCCATGGCCTGCTCCCCCCCCGGGAGCTTCAGCCCCTTCTGGGCCTCCTCGCCCCCCAGCCACCAGCCCGCCTGGCTGCCCCCCTCCTCACCCACCGCCCACGGCCTCCACCACCACCTCCACCACCCGCAGCCCGCCTGGCCCCCCGCCCCCCCGCCCGCTGCCCCCCCACAGAAAGCCGTGGCCACCATGGACGGCCAGAGATAAGACTGGGTTGGTGGGGGGGGGGGGACAGGGAGTGAGAAATTTGGGGGGGACGGGGGGGAGGAAGAGGGCGGGGGGGTGTCCAGGCCAGGGCGTTGGGAGCGGGGGCTCCCCCAGGAACGCACTGGAATAATTTTCTAGGTTTTATTATTATTTTTAAGGGGGGGGGGGGAACACACACAGGCTGCCGGGGAGGGCACCGGCCCACAAGAGCCTCTGCAAGAGTCACTAGCTGGTCTTTTCTCCCCCCCCATTTTTTTTTTTTTTAAATATATAACTATAATATATAAATATATCTAATGTATATAAATCCAGAGAGAAGAAGCAGCAGCACGGAGGTGGCTGCTGGGTGTGTGTGTGGGGGGGGGGGGTTTCCCTGTGGCTGCCCCCCCCCTCCCAGCATCCCTGCTGCAGGGCAGGAGAAGGAAAGGGGGGAGGGAATAACAAAAAATAAACGGATGGAGGCAGCTGTCAGCACCCCAGATCATGGCCGCAGGGGTGCAGAGCCACTGCCCCCCCCCCTCCGGCTCTGGATTTCCTGACGCTTCTTGCAGCGCCCAGAGCAAATGCGCCTCTTCTCTGGCTTCTGAAATTAAGCCCGGCTTCTTGCACAGACCCCCCCAAAACGCCCCCCCCACCTCATCCTCCCTCAGCACCTCCAGGGCCAAGGTGGATTTATCAAGGTGATGCCCCTTCCCTGTCCCTTCGACTGCTGTTCGTGGCCCTTCCCCAGGGAGAGGGGAGGTGGGGAGTTTTTTAGTTTTCAACTCAATCTTGCTTAAAAAAAAACAAAAAACAAAAAAAAACAAAAAACAAAAAAACAAAAAAAAAACAAAAAAAAAACAGGTTGAAGGTTTTTTTATTAATTTAAAAATAAAAAAAAAAAAAAAAATCACTTTTTTAACATCAGCTGTCCCTGCCTTTTCTCTTTGCTGGGAGGACATCCCTGGAAGGGCACCGAGACTGGGGGTGAGCCCCCCCATGCCACAGCATCAGAAGTGGGGACGGGTTCCCCCCGGGAGCTGCTCCCCCCATGCGCTGCCTGCAGAAGCCACCGCTGCTGTCCCCAAATGGGGGGGGGGGCAGCAGGAAGGGGAGAGCCCGCAGCTGTGGGGGTGCCACATGAGGACCCCCACGTGCTGGAGCACAACCGAAACCCCATCCCACACGCCAAATACTGCGGCCTGCAACGCACCCCCCCCAGCAGCCTGTCACCCCCAGCCCCATCACTTACCTGGGTGATGAGCCCCCCCCGCCCCCCAGCTTGGCAAGGGGGGGACACACAGACGACATGACACGACACAAGCACCAAAGGGCTCAGCCCCAGCTGGGCTGTATCCTGCAAATGCAATTACCTGGGGGGGTGTGGGGGGTGTTTTTAGCCCATTGCTGCCTGGCCCCCCCACCATGGGGTGTGGGATGGTCCTCAGCTGGCTCTGCTTTGGTTCCCACTGGTTTGTTCTGGGTGCTCCCAGTTATCCCACTGGAGGTGGCGGGACCCCAGATCCTGCTGGATCCACCTGGGCACCCCCAAAGTGGGTATTTAGCGCCCTTTTTTTCCCCCCTGAAAAAACAAACCCACCAGGAAAAACATCCCCGGGGGTGGCTCCCTGCAGAATAAGGTGTCCGGAGACCACAGTGGGGCGGGCAGGGATGGGGACTGCCGGGGCGGGGGGGAGGTTTGGGGGCTCCACCCCTGCAGAATTTGGGGAGAAGATCCACCAGGAGAGCAGGATTTCCAGTGGGCAGCCCAGAGGGACGCACAATGGGGGGGTGAGGGGATGCTCCCCCCCCCCCCCATGCCTGAGTGCCCCCAGCCTGCCTCCGGGGTTCCCCTCAGGGTTTCTCACCCTCCCACTCACCCTGGAGGTGCCACCAGCTTTGTGTGTGTCCTGTTTCCCCCACCCCCAAAAAAAAATGTGTCATTGCATGTGTGCATGGGGGGAAGCCGGGGCCATCCCCAGCTCTTTGCACTGGGGACAGCCCCGGCTCCTCCATGCGCCGAACAATGTGTCCCCAGCTGTGACACCCCCCAGGTCCCCCACCACGGTGGTTTCCCTTTCCTGGTACCTCTCAGTTGGTGACATAACTTGTGTTAGGTCTCAGCAGGCAGCGGGCCTCTCTCCCATGTGACGGTGAGGGGGTGGGTGGCAGGAGGGGGCTGGGGAAAAGCAGCCCCAAGCCACGGGGGTGGCATAAGAGAAAGGAGGGGACATACCCCCCCAAGGCTGGGGGCAGAGAAGGGGTTATGGTGCTTCAATCCGGAGGTGGGGAGCATCAGCTGCCCCGGGCTGGGCAGCAGTGGGGTTGGGGCCTTCCTCTTCCCCTCGATGGCCACGTTGGAAGAGGGACAAGGGGGTGACAGAAGGAACTCGGTGGTGCCCACCCCTCGGGAACCCCACTGGGCTTGGGGTGGGATTTGCTTTTGGCATTAAGCCATGTCCTGCTGCCACCCTTCCCACTGAGGTCCCCATCTCCCACTGCCTTCAGCAGCAACGGAGCATCATCATCCTCCCACTGCACTGCCCAAATCCCCCCAAATCCCCTCTGGGGTCACAAGCTCCCCCAGCAAGTGCCATCGGGGCCGAAAAAGGGGTTTGTGGAGGCCGGGGGGTGTCAGGGGAGCGCGGCAGCACGGGGCTGGCACAGACCCTGGGGGAGGGGGGTTGGACAGGGGCTGGTTTCAGCTCCTCTGGTGACACGTGGCCGCAGGACGAGCGATGCTGCCGACCCCTCCTTGTGCATGATGGGAAGATCCCGATGCAGGGCCCCCCCCCCCCCACCGCCCCCTCAGGCCACACAGATGCTTGGCTGCCCATCGCCATTTATTGCTGCTGGCTGGAGCTGCTTGCTCGCCTGCTCAATGGCTGGGGTGGTGGGGGTTCGGCCGGGGACCCCCAGTCTTGCCCAGCTGCTGGGGCGCTGGATCCATCCTGCGGGGACTGGAGGGGCAGGAGGAGCCCCCGGGCCTGGGAGAGGCGGCCGTGGGACGAGGCTGGCCTGGGCTCTGGCGAGGCGGCGGTGCCTGGGGGTGAGGGGCCAGGGGTTAGCCCCCCCTGCAGCCCCCAGGCCAGGCACCGGCTCTGGGCACCTCCCCAAACAGAGACACCCAGAAACGGGGTCCTGGCCCCCACCCTGAAGCAGACAGGCTGTTGTCCCACACTATCCAGGACCGCTCCCCCCGCATCCCCTCACCTTGCTTCGGCTCCGACACGGGGACCGGTTACCCCATCCACCAGTCCTTCCCCTCTATCCTGCTTCCACCCCAGCCCACTCCAGACCCCCAACCCCCCCTGCTCGCCCTCACCCACCGGGACACAGCAAGGTGCCCTCTCCCCCCCCGGTGCCCTGACAGGGCCATACCTGGCTGGCTGAGCGAGGACCCGGCGCTCTGGGGGCGCGAGAGCAGGCGGCCGGTGTCTCGGGCGTCCCACTGCCTTGGGGACAGCTTAGGCTTGTCCCTCAGGAAGCCTGGTGGGAGAGAGGAGAGGAAGATGGGGCGGGGGGAAAACCTGACACCCCGTGGGCACCCTGCCCACGCCGCTGTCCGCTCCACACCCGCCAGAGCCCCCCCCCCCAAGCGTGCCCTGGCCGTACCCTCCTTGCCCACGAGCAGGGGCAGCTGCCCGTCCCGCCGGCCCCTGTAGATGTGGCCGTCCTGGCCCAGCAGCTCCATCTCGTCATGCTGGGAAGGAGAAAGCGGGCTGGCTGAATCACCGGGCCGAAGTCAGCATCCCCAGGCAACCCTCCCGCACCCGGCTCTCCCTGGGGAAACTGAGGCACAGATTCCCCCCTCCACCGCCCCCCCCCACCCCGGACGCTCAGCATCACCCTCCCAGCCTCGGTCACCCCTGCCGTAACCCCCACCTTTGTCGCCCCTACCTTGATGGGGAGCAGGGTGGGGGGCTGGACCGGCCGTGGGGCGCTGGGCGGGAGGGGCTGGAGGCGCGGGCAGCGCTGCAGCGGGTGGGTGAGGGTGTGCCGGCCCCCGCAGTGCCGCGGCACGCTGGGGTACACGCACTCGGGCGCCCGCTCCCTGTGGGATGGGGCACGGGGGGGGGGGGGGGGGCTCAGTGCTCAGCACCCGGCACCGTGGCACCCCATGTTTCACCCTATTACGCCAGGGAGGGGGCCAGGGGGGTGCTCCCCGGTGGGGTATGTCCCTCCCAGGTGCCCACCGACTGCTGCAGGAGACCCACAGCCACCCAACCGTGCTGGATCTGCTCTTCCCCCGCGGCCCCGGTGAGCTGGTCACAGCCACGGCAGGTCCCTGCACCCTACGCGAAGGACACCAGGAGCCAGGAGCTGGGCTGTCCCAGCTGCAGTCCTTAATTTTGGTGACACGTTTCACAGGAGGCACCCGACTCCCCACCAAGCCTGAAGTCAGGCTGAGACCAGACACAGCTCATCACATGTAGCTTCAGCACCGTTAGGAGAGACCCGGGCTAGACAGGGCAGCCCAAGGCAGGGCTGTAACACCCCACAGACCTGGGGCAAGCACAGCTGACCTTCTGCAGCACATCTTTTCTCTCCCCCCGCGTCCTCCCACACCAACCCGGGGAAGAGCTCTCCCTTGCCAGGGCAGGGCCACCCTGCACCCCAGGGGCTGGGTCCCCGTGTCCCCTACCTGTGGCCGTGCTGCTGCGTTTGCTCCAGCTCGAGGATGGTATGGGAGCGCCCGGCAAAGCGGGGGGGCAGCGGTGGCATGGATGGGATGGCCACGATGTGCCTGGGGAGGGCAGGACCTGCGGGTGGGTGGCAGGGGACAAACAACCCACCCCAGCTTGGGGCAGCGCCCCAAAACCCACAGGCTTGCACCCCACAGCATCCCCCCTACCTGCTGCCCCCAGCGGGGGCTCAGCAGGGGCAGACCCTCCCAGGCAGACACCCTGACCCCTGTGCTTGGAACAGCGGGGGTCCACCAGCACCCACCTCCCCCCCATCCCACCCACTCAGCCCCCCCAAACACCAGTGCTACTCACGGGCCAGGCACCAGCATGTTGAGGGGCCGGTCGCAGGACACGCAGTGGAAATGGGCCAGCAGCTGCCTGGGGAGGGGGGACAAAAGGGCTGGGTGAGCTCCGGGGGGGACACGCAGCCCTGCCTGTGCACGGGCAGGCAGCTCGCAGGCAGCAGCGAGGTGCTGAGTTACGGCGTTTGCAGGGGGAACCGCGGGGGGCTAAGCGTGGTTTGTTCCCCCTCACCCCAGCAAGGTCGCAACCCGCTGGCTGGTGATAAAATAAAAGGGGTACGATGGGGGAGAGAGGTTGTTTGTGGGCTCCCACCTGGGAACAAGCTCCACCTCATATGGGCACTGGAGAATCCAGAGGGGACCGCCCAAAACCCACCCCCACTGTGGGAACTACTCCCACGGGCACACACAGCACCCCAGTCCCATGGGAACTGGGGGTCCTGGCAAGGACAAAATGGGGGGGGGGGACGGAGGCAGTTCCTGTACCTTTGGCTGGGGTGCAAATGCAGGATTGCCACATTTTTTTAGGATGAGCTTTGTCACTGCTGCCCCGAGGACCAGGACGCGCTCGTCTCGGCCCCGCTGGCACCCCCAAAACCTGGCAGCTTCCCCGGGGTGGGCAGGGAGGCGAGGCGCAGGAGCCCATGCCTGCCACCCAAACCAGCCCTCGCACCCGGCTTCATCGCTTCTTTGTCGGCGCTAATTATCTGCCTGTGCCATGCCAGGAGGGCAGGTCACAACCCAGCTCTGCCGCGGTGTCCCACCCCTGCCTGGGACACACACACACACACAAGCTGCCGTCCCCCAGCCTTGCTCCTGAAAGCCTTTGCACCCACACCCCAGTTTTGGTGCGGGAGGGCTCTGTCCTGCAGGTCCCCCCTCCTCACACCTCCTTTAATGTCGGGAACCTGCTGCTGGGGGGAGAAGGTGGCACAGCTCCTTTGTCAGCATCCCCACGGCCCGCTGGCTAAATTGGTCTGATGCCGGGGTGGCACTTGTCTCCCTTGTCTGAGCGGGCTGTGTCCCGGGGTGCCACACAGACACCGGCCGGGATAGCCCGAGGGAACGGGGCGAGTGCTGTCCCCAAAGCCATCGCCGTGCCCACCACACTCACTTCTTAATCCCAGCCGCATCATCAGCCTCTGTCGGCTGCGCCTTCTCCCTGAGCTGCTCCAGGATTCTCTTCCAGTGCTCCTCCAGCTGCTGCCGGAAAGGCCCCAGCTCCAGGCGGTCCAGCTGTGGACAGACACACACCCTCACCCAGCTGCGGACAGACACACACCCTCACCCAGCTGTGGACAGACACACACCCTCACCCAGCTGCGGACAGACACACACCCTCACCCAGCTGCCCCGGGACAGGACATCGCGGTCCCCAGGGAAAAGCCAGGAGCAGGGATCCTCAGAGGGATGCTGCCTTAGGCTGCCAAACCCCGAAGGTGCCCGTTTTGTGCAGCAGGGACGAGCTACCTCTCACCTTGGAGTCCATCTCTTCGCTGAGCTGCTGCTGGACCTGGTGCCAGTCCTGCTCCTGGCCCATCACCCGGCTCAGCATCTCCTGGATCATCCCATTCAGCCGCTCCATGCTTGCGTCAAACTGGCTGCGACTCACTTTGCCAGCCAGGGCGGTTTTGTCTGCTTTCTAGCAACGGGGAAAAGCAGGAGAGCGGTGGGGAAAGGATGGAGGTATGATGGGCAGGGCTGGCTCGTGGCAGGAGGAGAGGGGCAAGTGGCCACGTGGCCCCGCTCACCCCATCACTCCCGTGGGGTTGGTCACACCAGCTAAAGGGACCCGGGGGGAGACAGGGGGACCCAGTGAGGGACCCACGGCCAGTCTGGAAATCCTCCCTCCACCAGGGGAGTTCTGCCACTGAGCCCCCAGGGGACCAGCGGTGTTTGTCCCCCTGCCTGGGACCCCCTAGAGGCCATACCACATTGATTCCCAGCACCAGGTCCTCCTTGTCAGCTTTCTCCTTCTCCAGCTTCTCCAGGGACTGGAACAGAGCCTTCCAACACAGAAAGCATCCCTCCCATGACACCGCAGCACGGTCAGAGCTGCCTCCCAGCCAGCCGAGCCCCTCCTGCTCCCCACCCCCCCAAAAAACCTTCAGGAAAAGGTACTTTGAACCTCCACAGGGCTGAGAGCAGGTTGGCAGGGGGACAGAAAAATCCCTTGCGGTCCCCAGCCTGGGGTCTGCCCAGAAGATGCTCTGACCCCCTGGGGGTTTCAGCCACCTACCTCGATATCTTTCTGCTTCTGGTGACGGTCATTCAGGAGGTTCCCCGTGACAGAGCTGAGCTTCTCGTAGTCCCCTTGCACCTGCCTGACAGTGGCCTGGATGCGCTTCAGCAGCTCCTCGTCCTGCTTCGGGGAGGAAGATGACAAGGTGGTGCCATGCAAGGGGGGGGCTGGCTGCCCCACAGGGACAGACCTGGGTCACTCAGCCGGTGGCCACGGGCTCTCAGTACCAGCAGGACATTTACATCAAGGCTTTAATTTCCTTCCATGCTGCTGACTTGTACAAGCCAATCTGGGGGGGCAGCGAGGGGCTCCCCCACATTACAGTGAAGCACAACCAGCTGCGGGGGGTCCCAAGCCCCCCAATGCCGGCATCTCCCTACCTGGTTACTCCCTGGCAGCTGCCTCACCACCTTGCCCACCACCCGCCGCGACATGAAGGAGTCCACCAGCTCCTGGAGCTTCTCGTAGCGCTGGAGGAGCTGCCCCACTTGCTTGCTGATGTCCGTGCTGCAGATGGGGCACGCTGCCTCCACCTCTGCCTGCTCCTGCCCCGTGCTCCCCACCACCGCCCTCAGCTCGTCCAGCTGCAGGAGAGGGAAAAGGAATCAGCTCTGAGATGCAGGGACGGATGTAGCCAAGGAGCCCGGGTGCCTCAGAAGCTCAATGGCCCCAGCCGGCCAGGAGATGTGGTCAGGAACCCCGCCAGGACCACCCCGCTGAGCTGTGGGCAGTGGGAGCACTTCCCCCCGGACCTCACCTGCTCCTGCAGCTGGTCGGCCGTCTTGGTCACTAACTGCTCCAGCGTGGCCTTGTTCATCTCCTGCTGTTCTTCCAGCTCCTTCAGCTTACACGTTACCTCTTGCAGCGTGGATCTGGCCAGTGAGACAGGGGCACAGGCAGGCTTAGCCTCCACTCAGAGGGTGCCCCTTGACCCCTCTCCAGGCTTTTTTGCAGCCCCATGGCGTGGGAAACCCTCTGCCATCTTTTTACCCCAGTTGCAGGGTGATCTGGTCGCTGACATCCCCTTTCCAGTTGGCTTCAGACGCCTCCAGCTTTCCAAGGGCATCCTCTAGCTGCCTGATCTGGGAACGGTGGTGGTGGCAGTGTCGGGGCATGGCTCCATGTGTCATCCCAGCACAGGGGCCCTTCAGCTTGCCCCCTCCCTACCCAAGCCCCCCAGCATCCCCGCAGCCCCCTCGGGGACCGCTGCGGACTGCTCACCTTCCCCTTCTCGCCCTGCAGGTCGCTGCTCAGGCTCTGCAGGGAGGACGCCCAGTCCTGGATGTTGGCCAGGATGCTGGAGATTCTCTCCTCGTCTGGAGGGATGTGGTCCAAGGGGGACACACTGTCAGTCGGGGGGTCTCGCCTTTGGGGCCAGGCTCTGAGCACGATGAGCCCCCAACCCAGGGAGTCCTCATGCTGAACACCCCCCTGCCAGCCCCCCCCAGGGCTCCCACCTCCCTCCGGGAAGATCAGGCGCAGCTTCTCAATCTCGGCCTGGTCTGACTTGGTGGTTTCCAGCTGGGACACCTGCTCCTTCAGGACAGCGTAGTGGTGGCCGAGCTGCCCGATCTGGCGGAGAGCCTCCACCGTCTCTGCGTAGCGGTCGGAGGCGCTGCTGGAGCCTGAGGTCCCCCAGGGCATGGCCAGCTCTTGCAAAGGGGACACGGACCCGGCATCAGCATCGAGCGGGATCTCGAAACCCTCAGCTGTCGGCAAGAGGGTCCCCACTGCTGGGTGGCCTGCCCAGGCAAGCTGTGTGCTGGACAAAGCCTTGCCTCCCTCCTTGGGACCTGTGCCATCCATCTGTGTCCCCCAGGCAGCAGGGGTGGCTTCAGCAGGGACTTTCTCGGCACCAAGAAGGATGGAGTCCATGCCGGAGGGGCTTGGCTGAACCCCTGCTCCTCCTTCTTGGGTCCCTGGAGGTGCTGGATGAATCCCTGGGGGGGTCATCTGCATGCCAGGGGTCCCTGGCTGCATCCCTGGGGGGGTGGCCTGGGTGCCAGGGGATCCTGGCTGTGGCCCTGGGTGGGTAGTCTGGGTGCCGGGGGTCCCTGGATGCATTCCTGGGGTGGTGGTCTGGGTGCCAGGGGTCCCTGGCTGCATTCCTGGGGTGGTGGTTTGGGTGCCAGGGGTCCCTGGTTGCATCCCTGGCGTGGTCATCCGCATGCCAGGGGTCCCTGGCTGCACCCCTCGGGGGATGGTCTGGATGCCGGGGAATCCTGGCTGTGCCCCTGGGGGGGTGGTCTGGGGGCCAGGCATCCCTGGCTGCATCCCTGGGATGATGCTCTGCATGCCAGGGGTCCCTGGGTGAATCCCTGGGCGGGTGGTCTGGGTGCCGGGGGTCCCTGGCTGCCTCTCTGGGGGGGTGGTCTGGGTGCCGGGGGATCCTGGCTGTGGCCCTGGGCGGGTGGTCTGGGTGTCAAAGGACCCTGGCTGCATTCCTGGGGTGGTGGTCTGGGTGCCAGGGGTCCCTGGCTGCATCCCTGGGGTGGTGGTCTTGATGCCAGAGTTCCCTGCCTGTGTCCCCAGAGTGGTGGCACTGGCATCAGCAATCCTCATCCGATCTGAGGGAGCGCCTGCCCCCTTCTCAGGGGTCACTGGCGCTCCCTGCATCCCTGCATGTGTCCCCAGGGAGCCAGGCTGTGTCTGTGGAGTCCCCTTGCTTGTCCCTTTGCTGGTCCTGGGTGCAGGCTGTGTCCCTGGTCCCTTCGGTCCCAGTGCTGAGCTTGCTCCACGCGGGGTGTCCATGTCTAAAGTGGGGGGCTCAGCAGGGGCAGACTGGCCCCCACTGTCATCCTGGGAAAAGGAGGCAAAGGGGAGCAGGTTTATGGGCAGAAGTGCAGCAGCAAGGGCAGACCCAGGGCCACCTGCCCTGTCCTCAAGCCCCCCAGCTCATGGAGCCAAATTCAAGTACCCCAAAGGCAAAGACTCCCCACCCTGCAAGAGAGCCCCCTGAGCTCCCGCAGCCAGAGCTGCCCAGCCCCTCCCCAGCCCTCTCAGCCCTTTGGCTGCCTCCGTGCCTGTGGAGTCATTTTAGCAGCTGATCCAGGGGACCAGCAAACACCCTACTGATGCCACCTCATACAACAGCTAGGCATTCTTTCCGCCAGCAATGGAATTCTGTACTCCAGACCTGCTGGTCCAGACCCGCTTCCCAGCCCAATGGACTGTGCTTGTGTTTAAGGAGCGGCAGCCCCAGGCGGGATTTGGAAACCATCTCACAGTGCAAGATACTGAGGTTTGCCCCACAATGTCCCTCCGCTGTCCCCCTGCTCCCACCTGCCAGCCCCACGGAGGCTGGGAGGGGAGGGAGCTGTGGTCCTACCCAACCTTGAGCAAGGACGTGGGGCTGTGCGGGGCACCCCGAGGGTTTCGGGTGCTCGCTTGCCCCACGGCGGGGCTGGCGTGGGCTGCCAGGGGCACAGATGATGGGGGAGGCCCGTCTGTCTGGCCAGTCGAGGAGCTGCCCAGCTGCCCTGGCTCTGCCACTGCCAGGTCCTGCCTCCCAGCGGGATGCGCAGGGAAGAGAAGCGTTGAGCAAACCTCCGCCGAGGCCCCTGGGGCGTGCAGCGGCTGGAGGAGCCGGGGGCTGCGGTCCTGGGATGCCCCAACACTCACCACTGATAGACCTCGGCCTCCTCCTCCTCCTCCTCCTCCTCCACCTCCTCCTCCTCCTCCTCCTCCTCCTCCTCCTCCTCCTCCTGCTTTGCTGCCCACCAGGCAATCCTCCAGCACCTCCCAGCGCACCATGTTGCTCACCTCCTCCGGGGCCGGGTAGAGGCTCAGCCTTTCCTTCAGCCTTTTCTGGGGAAAGAAGGGATCAAGGGGTCAGCCCTGGCCGTGTAGCCGGGGGCGGGTGGGACCTGCAGGAGCTCTGACCCCCTGCAGCATCGCTGCCCAGCACTGCTGGGGACCTGCCACGGAGGGACCGGCTGCACTGGTCCCCCCGGGATGCGGCCACCTCTGTCCTGGAGCAGGACGCGGGCGCGCTCACGGCCGTACCACGTCACTGTCCAGCTCTGACTGGTCGCGGAGGCCCGGCAACCGCCCGACAGCGTCCTGGAGATTCCCCTGGAGTGGGACAAGGAGAGGGATGGCAGCCTGGACACAGGAGCAGGATTTAAAAGGAGCATCCAGAAATTAACCTGGGCACAAGACAGAGGGATGCCGGGCAGGGCTGTGCCTGGGGGCTGTGGCTATATTGTGTGGGTAGATCTTTCTCTCTCCTTTCCAGCACCCATATTTCTTTTTTTTTTATGGCTGTTTAGTTAAAAAGTGCCTTAGCATCACTATGGTTGATGCACACAGGTGTCTCTAGCTCCAGCACGGCTGCAGGCAGTGGTGCTGGTTTCTGCCCTCCCCAGGCTGTGTTGGAAGGCAGAGGACGGGGGGGTCCCGGTGGGGTGGGCTGAGCTCTCCACTCGCCCCTTGGGACACCCTTCCCACTCTTCCCTCCTGGCACGCTTCACGCCGGGTGACACCCAGGCCGTGGGGCAGGGGCAGCAGGGCGATGCAGTGAGGGGGGCGAGGGCTCAGCTCCCTCTCGGGGGGCACCGGCAGCAGCTCACCAAGCCAAGTGCCTCCTGGATCGTCCGGATGTCCTCTTCCATGCGGGACTGCGCCGCCTTCATCCCACCGATCTCCTGGAGGAGATCCTGGGAGAGAGCCACGGGCTGAGAGAGTGAGGTGACGGGGGTGAGCCCAGGGGTGGGTCCCCGGGGACCGGGACCTTCACCCCTGCTGTGTTCTGCACAGAGCAGAAGGGCAGCAATGCCTTTCAACATTGCACCTTCAACAGCTAAGAAGGGGCAGCAGCTCCCCAAGAGACCCCCACACACCTTGCCACGGGGGATGGGGGGGGGGGGGGGTTTTCCCTCATTGCTGAGTCAGCAGGGACAGCCCCAGCCCTGCCTGCCCACACAAGGTGACTGAAGCTGATCCAAAAGGCAAAGAGCTGCTGCCACCCTCTCAACCGCAGCCTGGCCTGCTGCTAACGAAGCGGGGAGCGATCAAGCAGGGCGAGCACTCCCTGCTCAGCCGCCTGGAGAAACCCTCCCTGCTGCCTCCTCCCTGCGTGTCCCAGCCCCGGCAGGATCCGGCCCTGCAGCGCTGAAAGGGGCCGTTCCCCTGAACCTGAGCTTATTCTTCCCCCTGGGGATCCTTGGGCAGCGCACAGCTGTGAATAGCCCAGCACCGTGCAGGATGAGGCCCCTCTGCACTCCCCACCAGCGCTGGGTTTAGCCCTTGGGTGAACCAAGGGGATTTGCGGCGGGAGATGAGGCTCATGAGGTGCTGACGGAGCCTCTCTGCTTCCCAAGGAGTGGACATGGCACCCGGCTGTAGGTCAAGAGCGCGGAAGGCAGGGGTGGGGAACACAGTGGGGCTGGACCTCCACAGGTGCTGAGCCTCTGGCTGGTGGAACTGAGGTGCTGTATCGGACCCACGGCTTGCTGACAGCACCGTGGGAAGGACTCAGAGCAACCAGAGCAGCATCTCAGCCCCAGCTCTTCTTCCCCAAAACTCCATCCCTTTCCTGCAGTGAAGCCCCGTGTACCACCACGACCGTGGGCTCAAACCAGGCTTCAGTTTAAGGGTGGCACGGACCCCGGAGGAGGGGACATCTCACAGGGGAGCACTCGGGAGACTGGGAAGAGCCTTTACCTTGGCGATGCCACTCTCCTTTTCCATCTTCATCTGCCCCACGTTGGCATCCACAGAGGTGACCTGGGGGCTGGTCGTGGTCCCCCGCAGCGGGTCCTTCCCAGGGCCAAGCGACACATGCCCTGTGCCCCAGCCGCTTCCCTGTCCCCCTTCTTCTCTGGGGTCTGCCTCGGGGGGCTGGTCCCGTCCCAGGAGGGGGGTCGGGCTGTGCCCCCGCTCCTGGGCGGGCAGGTCCTTCAGGCCCAAGTGGCCCAGCATGGCCTGCAGCAGGCTGTACAGCGCAGTGAAGTTGACGGCCCCAACCTCGGGCGTCCCGATAGCGACGTCCAGCAGCTGGGACAGGCTGAGCGGGGCCATCGCGGCTGCCCTGCCCGAAAACACGGAGCCTCCTCCGCGGCGGGGACCTGGCGGGGGGTGTGTGGGAGGGGTGGGCAGCCGGCAGCGCCCCCCCTCCTCCTCCTCCCCGCAGAAAGCGGTCAAAGCGGTGGGGGGGAGGTGGGTGGCAGGGTGACTCCCCGAGAGTATGGCTTTTTGGGGAGGAGGGGGGTGTGTGGTGTGTCTCCTTCCCCGCCGCCCCAGTCACCCCCAGTCCCATACCCAGCTCTCCCCCATCTCCCCCACCGCTGAACCCCCTGACCCCGCACACCCCCCCCGCCCCGCCTTACCCCCTTCGGCCCCCGCCGCGCCACGCCGCGCCTCACCGGCCCCGCCCCACGTCCTGAGCCCGCCCTTCCCTTCCCTCATTGGCCACCACCCGCCGCTCTCCGCCGCCCATTGGCCGAGCCCGCTGCCCACGTGTCCGTGTTTACAGGGTGGGAGACCGTCGCGTCTCCCGTTGCTAGGCGACGCCCCGCCCCCGCGAGCCGACGGCGGGGTTGGGGGGTGGGGGTGCCGCGCGTCCCGCGGCCTTTTCCGCTGTAGTAACCCAAAACGCAACCGGTGACGTCTAATATTTGACGCCCGTGCCCCGGCTGAGCCCTGTGCAGACACAATACCTGCCCGCCGCAACCCTCCAGGAGCAGACCAGCCCCGGCCGGGAAGCGCCTCCGTTTATTTATTTGAGGTATCAAAAAGCATGACAGATTTTACCCTCAGCCTTGGGACTGGTGGAAAGCTGCTGCTGCCTGCATCAACACACAGATTTCTAGCATCTTGCTCCGAAGCAAAGAGCCGTATAAGCAGGAAGAAAAAAAAAAAAAAAAGAAACGCAGATAAACACACACATCCAGATAACCCTAGGAAGTATTCAAACACTAGGAAAAAAATCCTTGAACCCGAGTGATCCATCAGACAAGTACTTGCAAAAATAATCAACAAGAGCTTCTTTTTCCCTTATGAACCTCGCGGTCGGGCTGTCACAGGGTCAGAGGCACCCCGGGGGGCCATTTCCCAGGCAGGAGGAGGGTGGGCTGGCAGGAACAGACGCCGCGCTCCTTTAGACGATAGCAGAGCCCCGTTTTCAGGCATCAAACCCAAAGCACAGAGACCCCTTCTGCGTGGTTTCCTTCTCCAGACCAGGAGGATTGAATTCAAAGAGTGGAAAGATTAAGAGATGGGAACAAGGTGCACCGAGGCAAGAAGCTAACCCCCTTCAGAGGGACCCCAGGCCTCAACTCGGCCGCCAGCTCGGGAGCGCGGAAGCTCCGTTCAGGGGTGGCTCAGGCTGCCGGGGCAGGGCTGGGGCCATGCAGGAAAAGCTGTAAGACCCCTAAAATAGCACAGTGGTACAACAACAGCAAAGGGAGGATCGTGGGGCAGCAGAGAAAATGCTGAGGGGCGATGCTGATGGGATGGCAACCCAGGGCTGGGCAGGCAGGGGCAGCATTCGTGTGCCCTGACCCCCCCCCAGGGGAACACAAGGGCCCAGTTTTCCTAAAGCAGTTTGAGATTTTGAGACAGGAACATCTGGGTTCAGTTTAGCCAACTGCTTTTGGCTTCTAGTCAGGGTAAGGTCTGAAGCAAAGCCTGAGGATAACTCGGGCTGTGGTCCCTGGTACAACCCTCTGCTCACTGGCACCGTGCTTCCAGCTTCTACCCAAATACAGCCCAGTACAAGCAAGCCTGATCAGGGCAGGAGCACTCGGCAAGCCCTGACCGTGCTTCTGGCAGGTCTGACAAGCAGTTTGGAGGGGAGAGAAGAGCAACGCTGCTCACATTGGAATCCAGGGTTAAAAATGTGAAGGGCGTGGTACAGTACCGGCTCAGAATAAGGGGGCACGCAGACACCTGCAAGGGCTTCACCCGCTTCAGTCGATCCGTTCCATAACACAGCACAGCACTGTGTTACTGCACCCGGCCGAGGAGCCACACCGCACTCACAAAGTACAGCTGTGACCTGTTCGCAGGGCTTTGAAAATGCAGGAAAACCATCAACAGCCCTAAAACCTCATGCGGCCCTGCACATCCCTTGTGCAATCCGGCTTGGAGGTTTAATCCGTGCTGGATACCGGAGATGACCCAACCACTGTGGGGTTCCATATACCCTCACCAGCTACAAGACAGGACGCTATGCTGCAAGACAAACTCCCCTGGGCCGAGGCACGCTTGTTTGCCTGGTGTCCAAGGCTTGTCCTGCACACGGAGTCACTGCCTGCCCCTTGGCACCGTGCACAGCTCAGATGCTGGTGTGGAAGAGAAGGACGTAGGCAGAAGTTGAAGGATAATTAAAACTCAACAACCACCTGCCAGAGACAGCCCTCAGCAACAGTGCTCTTTTGAAGCAACTCCCTCCAAACAGGATTTGCTCCTCACGTCAGCGGGCTAGAAAGTGGTATAGATTTTACTGGAGTCTGTTTGTCCGCCTCATCAAGGGGGAAGATTGCAGTTTGGGAATTTAGCCTTCTATCAGCCTGGAGACAAAGGCCTTCACAAGCACTTTGGGCAGCTTTCTCAAGTGTCCCCTCCAGCCAAAGACTAGTGTCACTCAAGAAAGGAGCAAGCAGTGAGTCCTACTTCCCTATAGAAGGCGGCTGCAAGCTCCAAGTGAGCCTGACTACAGCAAGAGCTCCATGGTACAGACACAGCAGCTGTTCAGGGGAACCACTAAAAACGAAAAATTCTATGCTTTTTATTGCAGGTTCAGTGTTAGTGTTTTGGAGAGCACAGCTGCACTAGAGGCAGATATTGTTCCAACTCCCCCTCCCCATGAGACTGCCACAATTCATCAGCTCCATGCAACTCCAGAAATTGCACCTGGCTTTGCAGTGCAGACAAGAATTCAAGTGAGGACCTAGATCCTCATGTGACTTGCCACCGAAGAACAATAATGATGCAAGGCTCGTAAAATGAAAAGGCCAGCACATTAACTAGCATCCCTTGCCCTGCTGGGAGACACACATGAGCCTGTTCCCAGCGCCCCGACACAGGCGTGTGAGGAGGCCTGCAAATGGTTCAAGCTGCCCTTTCTGGATGTTCTGCTAACCTAATTTTGATGAAAGTCTGTGCTATGCTGTGCAGGAGATGAGAGGCCACTCAGTTGGCAAGAAGCTGCTCTGCTGATCAGCCCTGCCAGCAGCAAGCAGTCCTGCCCAGCTGCCTGAATAAAGCACTCCCTGCTGCGCTCTCGGGCGAGTCACAGAAACAGAAACCCAAAGGCTGCCTCCTTTTGCTGCCCACACGCAGCAGTGAGCAGTCTCTATTCCCTTCTCATAAGCTGACAGCTACTTCTTTTTGACTTTCTTTCCACCCCCCATAGGGCAAGAGATAACACACCAAAAAAAAAAAAAAAAAAGGGGCGGGAACTTAAAAATTCCACACCACCTCATTTCTCCATCCCTCTCAAGATGTAATCCTCCCCATTGCCAGTGGCCTCTTCTATTCACCTGTAAAGTGCTGGTCAGGTTGATGTTTTCTATTAGATCTCATGGCTCAAGACTCTGAAAACCTTCACGCTCCTACAAGAATAAACAGTTGTGTTATGCCTATAATTTATGGTATTGCCGTTTCATGCATGTTTCCTTCTCTGGTGGAAGCCAGGACAGGGGCAGCGCCAGGTCTAGTCATCAACAGTGATGTTGCGAAAGAGATAGGCCATGGACTCGCCATTGTGGATTCGTCGGATGGCTTCAGAGAGAATCAAACTGATGTCCACAGTCTTTATCTTGGGGCACTGCAGCTTCTGTACCTCATGAGGAACTGTGTTGGTTACTACCACCTAGTAGAAGTAAGAAAGAAAAGACCGTTAGTTGTGCTGTTGATACACTCACTCTCACTGAACAGCTATCCTAGATTAACTCCACGAGTGGTGTGTACCTACTGCTTCACAGTTCAGGGGGAGAAATCCTTGTACGTTAGAAAAAAAAATAAATGGTCTCCCCCACACGACAGTCAATCTGCTGAGGGGCCCGACATAACCAGCACTCTACAACAGCCACCTCCACACAGGCTGACAGTTCCGTTTAGATCACAGGATCTGACATGTTTGTTACTAAGGGTGAGGTTTGAAATCTTATCCTCTTAATGTACCCGACAGCCTGGCATCAGCCAGGGGAGAGGTACAGGTAGAAGGTCTGTACAGTGAGAAAGCAGTCACATGCACCCAGCTGTGGTAAGAGAAGCATCCAGGCAGGGATGACTAATATCTGTGCATTAAGTAGAAAACATACACAGAGAAGCAAATCTGAACTGAACAAGTATTAATCACACATGCCTTTTTTTTTTTTTTTTTTTTTTTTCAATGAAGAACAAGCTAACTGAAAGCATCTGATGCAACCAGTTGTTTCAGAGATGAGCTGTGTGGCAGGGGAAGAACATCAGTTTGTGGTTTTTAGTGCCTTAAATCAACCCAGCCACCAGAGCCAGCCCTTCCTCTGCAGTCCAGAAAGCCCACACACCTCATCGATGGAGGATTCCTCTATGAGACGGGGGGCATCTGCGGACAGAAGCCCATGAGTAGCCATCACAAAAATCTTGTAGGCTCCACGCTCCTTCAGGATCTCTGCAGCAGCTACAAAGCTTTCCACATCATCGATGATGTCATCCTTAGAAGAGACAGAAATAACATCAAAACCAGAAGTTTACCATGCCTGCAGGGCAGGCGTGGATCTGCAAGGTACTGCAGCTTTGGCCATGCACACAGCCAAAAAAAATAATGCCTGGCTACTTCAGCTGTTGTTGAGATGAAAGGACAGCCATGTGCACAACTTAAATCTGTGAACGCCATTTCCCTAATTTACAGACCATTTTGCTAGTGTGGAGAACAAATACTGTGTCTTGGAAACAAATTAGTCCCTGCACATGCTCACACACAAACAGAGCTTATCTTCAGCAAGACAATTTTTTTCACAGTGATAGTAGCTGCATGTTGATTACTTACACTGCAGCTTGGCACAGCAAGTAGAGAAGCTCAGCAAGTTTTGTTTGTTTGGTTGGGTTTTTTAAATACTTCAGGAGATTTCTCTGCATGTCCTGGATTTGTTGAGTATTTGTACACATCTGACATTTGTAGATTCAAGGGAGCAAGGAGATTTCAGGGCTTAAAGCACTGAAGTACCAAGGGTTTTCAACAGAAAGCCACCAGCAAAACTGGAAACAGTGGTAGCAATCATATTC